CTGCCAGGTGTTCTGTATCCATGAGTCTGTTTGCTTTGTTTGTTCATTTGTTTAGTGGTTTCGATTCCACGCTTATGGGAAATGCTACAGTATTTGTCTCCGACTTATTTCACTAGCACACTATACTCTAGGTCCATCTGTGTTGTCACAATTGGCAAGGTTTCATTCTTTTTTAAAATTTTAGAGAGAAGGGAAGGGTGGGAGATAGGGAGAGAGAGAAACATCAGTGTGTGGTTGCCTCTCCTGCGTCCCCTTCTGGGGACCTGGCCTGCAACCCAGGCATGTGCTCCAACTGGAAATCGAACCTGCAACCCTTTGCTTCACAGGCCCGTGCTCAGTCCACTGAGCTACACCAGCCAGGGCAGATTTCATCCTTTGTTGTGGCTGAGTAATCACTGCAGTGCGTGTGTGTACACAATGCACGCATGTGCGCACACACATGTACATATCCACTTCCTTTTCACCCATTCCTCTACTGAGGAACACCTAGGTTGCTTCCCTATCTCAGCTCTTGTGAATGACGCTGCAGCGAACATGGGTACGTGCGTCCTTTTAAACAAGTGCTTTTGTTTTCTTCAGATTCGCGCCCAGAGAGGGATTGCTGGGTCCTTCCTTGCCTGTTGTTAGAGCCTTTGTTTTAAAGTCTGTTCTGTTCGATACGGGCATTGCTATCCCAGCCGCTTTTCTATTGTTGTTATTGTTGGCACTTTCATGAAATAGCCTTTCCTTCCCTTCCCTTCCCTTCCGGTCTGTGTGTGTCAGTCAAGTCTCATGTAGGCAGCAAGTGTATACAGGTCCCGTTTTTTCAGCCATTCAGTCACCCTGTGTTTTTTCAACGGGGTGCTTAGTCAGTTTACATTTAGAGCAATTATGGATAAGTATGTGCTTATTGCCATTTTAATTGTTTTCATACCATACAGTATTTGTAAGTGGTTGGTCTACTGCACTTACTGTATGTTTTTGCCTTTACTAATGAGATTTTTTCAGTGTTCCCTTATTGCTAGTTTTTCTTTTCCATGGCTTTTTTGTAATGCCGGTTTAGCAGAGATGAACTCCTTTAGCTCCTGCTTGTCAGGGAAAATCTTGTTCTCTCCTCCAATTCTGAATGATGCACTTGCCGGGCATTCTTGGTTGTAGGTGGTTCCCTTGCATCACGTGGAATATATCGAGCCCTTCCCTTCTGGCCTTGCTTGCAGTCTACGCCTTACAAATACAGCCATAGATAGGGTCACAGGCCGTGGGCTGTCTGTCTTGCCCGTGTGGGTTCCTGATGGGAGGGAGGAGGCACGTGTCCGGAGCCTGCCAGGGACAGCCCAGACCTACCCCCTTGCTCCTGAGCTATGTTAACCCTTGAGGTACTGTGCAACCCAGAGCCTGTGAGTCATGATTTTTAAATTACCACCGTTTTCATCTTTCATGTCAGGTTTTAATTGAAGTCACGAGTACATAGCTCAATGAAAGAAAATGACCTTGCTTTGCCTTTTGCTTTTGCTCTCAGGTCCATGCGGGAGGGCAGGGGAGGTGCTTGACAAATGTCTGAGCACCCCCAGGAGAGGGCATTGCGGCAGACAGGCCGAGACCCCTCCTGAGGCCCCACTACCCTGGCCTTGACCCCTGGCCTCTCCTCCCCCCGCCCCCACTCAGATGGACGTGTACTGCTTCCTCTTCACGGACCTGCTCCTGGTGACCAAGGCAGTGAAGAAGGCTGAGAGGACCAAGGTCATCAGGCCACCACTGCTGGTGGACAAGATCGTGTGCCGGGAGCTGCGGGACCCTGGTGAGGAGCCTCGTCCCCGCTCCTGGGTGAGGGCTGTGATGGGCAGGGCCCGCGGTCTCGCTGACGCCGAGCCCTTCCTAACCAGGCTCCTTCCTCCTCATCTACCTGAACGAGTTCCACAGCGCCGTGGGGGCCTACACGTTCCAGGCCAGCGGGCAGACTCTGTGCCGAGGCTGGGTGGACTCCATTTACAATGCCCAGGTGAGGGCAGCGTGACCTGCGGGTGGGCGGGGCAGCCTGGGGCGCTGCTGCTCACAGGCGCGCTCTGCCTCTGTGCACCTCCTGTGCCACCCACAGAACCAGCTGCAGCAGTTGCGTGCGCAGGAGCACCCAGGCAGCCAGCAGCGCCTGCAGAGCCTGGAAGAGGAGGAGGACGACCAGGAGGACGAGGAGGAGGAGGACGAGGAGGAAGAGGAAGGTGGGGACAGCAGCACTTCGGCTGCCAGCTCCCCCACCATCCTGCGTAAGAGCAGCAACAGCCTGGACTCCCAGCACTGGTACGCTTGCCCGGGACCACCCAGCGGGCCGGGCAGGGCACGCATTCCAGCCCAGGACTCCTGACCCCGAGGCCGCAGACAGGGGCAGAGCCTAGCTCGACCCCTTCGTCCCAACGGCCTCAGGTCGTGAACCCAGTGGGGGCGGGGTCGCGGTCTGTCTTCCAGCCTGGAAGCATCCAGCCACGGCTGGCAAACCATTTTCAATTTGATCACTGACTCCGACTCGTTAGTAGTAGCTGCCTGGAGCTGAGCTGAGAACTCTTAGGCTGTATACAGCAGGAAAGGGCTCTGGTGGTGACAGACGCCGTTCCTGGAGTGTGTTGTGGGCACAGGAGTCGGGGAATCTGGGGCTTTGGTCCCACGTTTGCAGTCTCTGAGCCCCAGAGTGGGGAGGACAGGGACAGGAGGCTTTTGCGTTGCCCGGCACAGGCTGGAGCAAGCCGGCCGGGGTCGCTGTCTGTGCTCATTCTCTCCGCCCCCCCGCCTCCCCCCGTTGGCCCGCAGTGCCTCGGAGGGCTCCACGGAGACCCTGGCCATGGTGGTGGTGGAGCCCGGGGAGACGCCGTCCTCTCCCGAGTTCGAGCACGGCCCCTTCAGCTCCCAGTCGGACGAGACGTCTCTCAGCACCACCGCCTCATCGGTCACGCCCACCAGCGAGCTGCTGCCCCTGGGTCCCGGGGACAGCCGCTCCTGCTCCATAGACTCTGCCTACGGCACCCTGTCCCCCACCTCCTTGCGAGACTTTGTGACCCCAGCCCCGGTGGTGGAGCCAGCACCCCGGCTCCCAGAGTCGCCACAAGCCCCCTCCCCCTCCCCCTCCCCCCGCCTTCGCCGCCGCACCCCTGTCCAGCTGCTGCCCCATCTGCCCTGCCTGCTCAAGTCCAAATCTGAGGCCAGCCTCCTCCACCTGCTGTCAGGGGCCACCACCCGTGGAGCACCGCACGCCCCCAGCCGCAGCCTGTCAGAACTCTGCCTGGCCACCGCAGCCACTGGCGCTAGGACTCAGGGCTCCCCGCAGCAGGCTGGGCCAAGCTGGAGTTGCAGGGGTGCACCAAGCACTGGCAGTGCCCCTCGGCCATCAGAGATGGAGGATGGAACCCCCTACCCAGCTGGGGGGCCTGAAGGGCCCGAGGGGAGGAGCAGAGAACTGCCCTCAGGGGCCTCACCCAGGGCCCAGCCCGAGCCCCCTGCAGGAATCTCTGCCCAGCACCGGAAGCTGACGCTGGCCCAGCTCTACCGAATCAGGACCACCTTGCTGCTTAACTCCACTCTCACTGCCTCGTGAGTGGCCTGGCCTGGGCGAGCCAAGGGCAGCTGCCCCAGTGTGCTGGCACGGGGCCACTGCACCCCGGGAGAAGACGGGGCACTGTTGTGGCTGGGAGCAGGTGGCATCTAGGGATGTGGGTGGAGGAGGGGCCCTGAGGCCTGCCCACCCTCAGGGTGAGGGTTTCCTCGGAGAACAGTGAGGAAGGGCTTTAAGAATTCTAGTGGGGTGAACAGGGTGGCCAGAGTCCCTCTGAGTGGCATCAGCCAAGGAAGGACTGTCTTCCCCCTCCCCCACAGGGAGGTCTGAACAGAGGGAGACCCGGAGGGTGCCGCTGGACAACCAGACAGCAGACAGCATGCCTTCTGGGGCGTGCCGGTCCCTGTCCTAGCTGCCGCCTTGCGCGCACAGGAGCAGAATGCTGGGCGGATCCCCACCGCCGCCCCTGGGTGATCTGCACTTTGCCAGCCAAGGAGACAGAGGAGGGTCCGGCAGAGTCCCAGGCCCGGCCACAGTGCCCCTCAGGACCACCCCCCACAGTCACCACCTTCACTAACCTGCCCCCCACTTCACCCCCCTGCCCTCGATTTCTTGTCCGCTGCTCCCCAAAGTTACCAGCTCTGATCCACTGGGCTGGCCTCCCAGGCCACCCCCCTCCACCTGCATCTGGCCCCAAATGGGGCATTTGCCTTCCTCGCCTCCCTCTCCCCCCCCACCCCCACCCCCGAACAGTTCCGCCGGCCACCCCAGGCTGGGGTTGGGCTCTGTGTAAAGCTGCGTATTTATTGAGCTTTTTGTTCTTTTATAAAGACTTGTATATGCTCCACTGAGAAGAGCCCTTTGCTTTTGGAACCCGCCCCTTTCAGGGCGCAGGTGCACTGCCTCCTGCCCCTCCCTCTGTGGTGGGGCACTGCCGGAAGAGACCGTGGGAAGCAGAGTGAATTAGGGGGCAGAGGTCACCAGACCAACACCCCGAGATAACCCTGTCCCCTGCCACAGCCATGAGGTTCACCATCAGAGCCCCACGTGGTGCCTCTGGGGACCCTGCCCCGGGTGGCGAGTGAGCTCACTCTGGGTGGGCAGCCTGTGCCAGGCTTGCTGGCCCTCCCCTAGAGCCCTCCTCCAGGGGAGGGCCCTGTCCCACACCCACAGGGTCTGGGCACGGTGGGCCTCCCACCAGGCTCTGAGGCCCATTTGGAGGAAATCACCACAGTGGGGTGGCCTCCGGGTTGGGGCGAGAACCCAGGCATGGGGACCCAGAGGCAGTCCTGTCCTGCGTGCACCTCGCTGCCCCCTGGCCACCTCCAAGTGAGTCCCTGTGTGCTGGGGGCAGGCCCCTGGGCTCCGGGCTTCACCTCCATGATCCCTCAGGTTCTGCCCTGAACCCCACTTCTGAGGCAGGTTCACTGGGGTGGCGGGGGCGGGCCCTGTGGCAACTGGCTGGGCGCCGGGCGGAACTTTGGTGGGCAGGGCGGGTGGCACGGGGAAGCCCCTGCCGCCTGAGCCATCGGAGGGCACAGAGCGGCACCGGGGCCATGGAGCGGCCGCTTCGGGGCCGTGCTGCGGTGTTGGCTGCAGTGAGTGGGGGCCCTGGGGGGCGCGGGGGCCTCAAACCTCTCCTGGGCCTGGGTGGGTCTGTGCAGGCAAGGAAGGGGTCCCCGTGAATGTCCGAATCCCCACTCCCTGACTCGCTGGGGACTGGGCAGCACCCCTCCCCCCTTCCGACCTACTTAGAGGCTCAGCCGGGGGGGCGGGCCCTTCTACCGGGAGGAAACATCCTCCCAGGGGCCCAAGGGGTCTGGAGGCCCCAGGCAGAGAAAGATTCGAGTCCTTCACCACCTCTGAAGGAGTCCTGGGGGTGGGGGCGCCCAGTTCTGCCCCAGTGGAGAGGAACCATGTGACTGGGAGGCATCCCCTCTGCTTCTTCAAAGCCCTGCCCGGGCATGGGGGGAAAGAAGGGAGTCTGCAGCCCCAACCCACGCACACCCCTTCTGCTCAAGGACCTGAGAAGCGGGCTGCTCTGAGGGAGAACCTGGGGTGTCTGAAGTTGGGGAAACTGGGCAGGGAGAGCCCCGCGTGGGGAAGCCACCCTGGAGCCAGCAGCACCCGTTCCCCAGGCCCTCCTGCTGCTGCTGCTGCTGGGCGCCCAGGGCCAGGGCAGCGCCCCCAGCCCTGGCTGCGGCTGTGCCCGCGACTCTCAGAAGAGGAACGGTCTGCTGTGTTGCAGGGGCTGCCCAGCAGGTGAGCAGCTGAAGGGGTGGGAGGGGTGTGGAGGGAGGGAGGGGAGTGGCAGGCAGGCCAGGGATGGGGTGAGGGGGCTGGGAGAGCAGTAGGGAGCCACAGGTCAGGTGGAGGGGGCCTTGACTCTGACCTTGGTCTGGGTTCCACAGGACAGTACCTGGCAGCCCGCTGTACAAAGCCTTGTGGCAATGCCACCTGCCTCCCATGCCCTCAGGGCACCTTCCTGGCCAGGGAGAACCACCACGAGATCAGCTGTGCCCGCTGCGGGACCTGTGATGACCAACGTGAGGGGCCACCTAGTGTTGCAAGGGGGTCTCCTGAGGACAGGCCAAGGCCAAGGCCACGCTCTTTCTACAGGAAGTGCCTGGCTCAGGCCCCCGTGGGGTGTGAGGCCCCTCCACCCTGATGTGGCCTCAGGAGGCCTCTGAGCCCTTCCTTCCTGGTAGCCTCCCTGTCCTTGTGCACACGTCAGCCTCTGGTCTGCAGTGACCCTCTTCTCTTCCTTTTGGGGTCGCCCTCTCTTTGGTCTGTCCCCGTCTCTGTCCTTCCAGGGGTCTGTCCCACCTCTCCGTGGGGTCTTGGCCCCTAACTGCCTCTGTTCTCCCCATCTCCCTGCACCGCTTCCCAGTCTCCCAGGTGGCTCTGAGGAACTGCTCGGCGGTGGCAGACACCAGCTGCGGCTGCAGGCCAGGCTGGGTCATGGAGTGCTTGGACACGCGCTGCGTCGGCAGCCTGCTCTTCCAGTGTCGCTCGTGTGTGGACTGCGGTGCCCTGCACCGCCACACACAGGTGCCCTGTGAGTACCCGAAGTGCGGGCTGCTGACCCCACCCCTCCCTGCCACCCTCTCTCCCGCCTGACCCGCACCGTCTCTTGGACTGCAGGTTCCAGCACAAAATGTGGCGCCTGTCTGCCTGGCTTCTACGAATATGGCAACAGCTGTGTGTCCTGCCCCACGTAATTTCCTGGCTGCCCTGGGGAGGGGGGGGTGGAGCTGGGAGCAGGGTGGGGTTCTGGGGCCAGGGAGGCAGGAGCTTGGCTGTACCGTAGGTGGGTCCCACGTCAGGCAAACAGGTAAAGAGAAACCTGCATTCACCGACGCCAGATCAGTAAGGATCCCCTTAGTAATCCTCACAGCTGCACCCTACAATTTGTCACCTACAGAGGGAATTACATTGATAGAGCTCCAAAACGTGGGTTGAGATTCAGGAGCTGTTCCCTGGAGGGTATCAGCCGAGTTACTTCACCACCCTGATACGTGGCTTTCCTATCTGCACATGGGGATGTTAGCAGGTTCACCCCAGAGCATCTGCCATTTCTGGACACTCCCAGGTGCTGGGGATACAACAGGGAATAAAGACCAGTCCCGGTCTTTAGGGAACGGGCATTCTAGTGACCCTCAGTCTGGTCTCAAAGACGCTCGATAAATCGTGGCTGTTGATATTGTTACTGGGGACACAAGTGGCATCTCAGCAGCACTTCAGGAACACTCGTGGGCAGTCTGGGAGAGCTCCTCCTGTGTCGGAGGCCCTCACTCCCTGCCCCACCCCTCCCCTTGCAGGAGCGCCCCCTGGAGCTGTCCTGGGCCCTGTGCGGCAGTCTGTGGCTGGAGGCAGAGTAGGTGGTGCGCTGGGAACGCAGTGGGGGGGCTGGGCTGGGTCAAGGGGAGGTTGGGGGAGTCTACCACCCACCGCCAACCAGCTGCTCTCTCAGTGTTCTGGGTCCAGGTGCTCCTGGTAGGCCTGGTGGTCCCACTCCTGCTCGGTGCCACCCTGACCTACACATACCACCGCTGCCAGCCCGGCAAGTCGATGGTTCCCGGTAAGCACATGCGTGCACACACGCACACTCCTAGGAGCCTCGGGTCAGGATGGCTAGCCCAGACCCCGCCCTGATGCACAGGGGGAAACTGAGGGAGTGAGTTCTGGGGGGTGTGTGCAGAGGAACGGAGAGGCTGGACCAGCACCCAGGAGCCCTGCCTGGGTGCTGGTTGGACTCTCCTGTCTCTCTCAGCAGATGGAGCTGGGATGGAGGCCCTGACCCCACTACAGGTAAGACTCTCAGGAATGTTCTGGAAGACGGTGAGCAAGCACCCAGGCCTCTGCCTTCTGGAGCTGAGGTGTGCCTTATTATAATTCGAGATCCCTGGTGTGTGGAACGGTGGCATGGAGTTGACCTAAGACAGCCATGTGCCAAGTTATCAGTGCAGGAGAGCAGCCCAGTGCCTGTCCTCAGGTGGCTCTCTGTCCACGGGGCCCACAGGCGAACAGGGCCTAACTACTGAGTGGGGTGAGGGCCACCGTGGCAAGGGCAGGGGCGGGGCACTCCAGGTAGAGGGCGTAGCTCTTCCATGGGGCCAAGTGAGGGAGCATGGCCCACCCAGGGTAGTCGACACTGGTAGGGGGCGGGGGCCTGGGGGAGGGGCGTTGCTGGCCATGACTCCAGCCAGGGGGGCCTTACTAGGTAAGCAGGGCTGATCTAGAGGCTCTCTTGACTTCCAGGCCACCCACCTCTCACCCTCAGACAGAGCCCACGCCCTTCTGGCGCCACCCAGCGGTAGCGAGAAGACATGCTCCGTCCAGCTGGAAAGCAATGGCTGGACCTCTGGTCTCCACACCCAGGAAGCACCCTGCCCAGAGCTGCCGTGGCCCTGGGACCAGCTGCCCCACAGAGCTCTTGGTAAGCGACTTCAGTGGCCTGAGGCCTTGACACCAAGGTGAAGTCCGATATGACAAGCTGTGGTTTCCTGAGGTGCCACTTGCCCACTTCCTGGCCACTAGTTAACGACTTCAGTGGCTCTCCCTGTCCCATGGCTGTGGCCACAGACTGTGTACCCACTGGCTTTCTGGTGTGTCCCCAGGCCCCCCGCCACCACCACCACCGCAGAGCCCCCCAGCGCCGCCTGCAGGTTCGGCGGCTACCATGCTCCAGCTGGGCCCGCAGCTCTATGACGTGATGGACGCCGTGCCTGCCCGGCGCTGGAAGGAGTTCGTGCGCACACTGGGGTTGCGTGAGGCCGAGATCGAGGCCGTGGAGGTAGAGGTTGGCCGCTTCCGCGACCAGCAGTATGAGATGCTGAAGCGCTGGCGCCAGCAGCAGCCCGCGGGCTTGGGCGCCATCTTCGCGGCCCTGGAGCGCATGGGGCTAGACGGCTGTGCTGAGGACCTGCGCAGCCGCCTGCAGCTCAGCCCATGACGCCGGGACCACCTGCCAACCGGGGGCTACGGTGGCCCTTGGCGAAGCCCTAAGTACCGTTACTTATGCGTGTAGACATTTTATGTCACTTATTTATGTATGCCTCTGGCATGGCCCTGCGTAGCAGCGCTAGCCGGCCTCACCCTGCTGCGCCCCCCTGGCTTCTGGTTAAGGCAGAGAAGCACCAATGAACATGGACGGACAGGGGAGGGTCAAGGGGATTGCTCAGCTGTTTCTCAACCTGAGTCTGGCCGAGGCCGTGGTATTAAATCTATGAAAAACCCCTGCTGCTTGGTGTTTTCACAGGGCAGGGGTACTAAGTGGCCCACGCTTGGTTTCCTGGGGAGCATTGAAAGGGCCGGAAGTCTTGCGCCGCCCAGGATCTCAGCCCCATGGTGGGGGACCAGAGTGGCCTTGCACCCAAGCCTGCCCCTCCCGCTTAGCTGTGGGAGTTACCCCGACAGGGAGAGGGAGAGGAGACAAGTCCGCGACCATGGGCGGGCGCGAATGAACGTGAGGGAGCCCCAGGCATCTGAGAGAGCTTTAATGGGGATGCGAGACAGCGGGGGCGCGGGGACGCGGGGACCTGGGAGGCGGCAGTCGGAGACAGGTTCGGGGCCCCTCACCCTCCACTGACTCTACCACGGCTGTGAAAGGGCCCAAGGAGCTGCCCGGGCAGCGCTCAGGCTTCCTCACCGGAGGAAGGTGGGGCCCCGGGAGCTGCAACTCCGTCCTGACGGGCAGCTTTCACCGTTTCTGGTAAACAAATGACTGAGAGGAAACCCTCGGCGGGGATGGGAAACGCGGGCTGGGCGCCTATCTAGGTCAGGGAGGGAGGAAAACCCCTTCCCCGAGCGCAGAAGCCGGCCTCCGCCCAGGATGCGCCAGCGGATGCGCCAGCGACGCGGTTCCGGGGTGCGGGGGAGGGGACTGCAGCCCGGTGCACGTCCCCCGGGAGAATAAAGTCACCACCTACGGGGCTGGAAAGAGCTCTGCACACGTTGACATTCAACGAACATGCAAATGTATGTAAATAGGCATGCAAATAAGCAGCATCTTTTGCGTCAACGACTTGGGCACTTTTTGGGGGCAACTACAGCGGCTGCGGCGGTGGGCGCGCTCCAGCGTGGTCCAGCGCTGGGAATGCGAGGGCCCGAGCGGGGGGTCAGGGAGGGGTTACAGCACCGGAGGGGAGGGCGGCGTGGCCCCCAGCCCTTCCGTCCGGTCCGGCAGGCTGGGGTGGGGGCTGCCTCCCCCCTCCCCCCAGCTCGTGAGGAAGCGGGCAGGAAAGCAGCATCTAGTACTTAGCGATGTCCCCTTTCTTCAGGATGATCTGTCGCTGCCAGGGCGCCAGCTTGGTCTCGTCATAGCCCAGCGTTCGCAGCTTCTCTGACTGCTCTTTTTCCCGCTGCATCTCCTCCTGCTTCTGTCGCTCCTCCTCTTTACTAGACACGGGGTGGGGGCGGAACTGCCGTCAAGGGCGGAGGGTGGGCCAGGCACCGTGAGGGCTCACGGGTGGCAAGGACTGGGTTACTGAGGGCAGGGGCCAGTTGCTGAGGACAGGGGCTGGGTTAGAAGGAGGGTCATTGGGGCACCCAGAGCAGCTGGCTGAGCAAGAAGCTGTGGCGGGGTTATTGCAGATTGGGGTGTTACTGGAAACAGGCGTTGGGTCACAGTGTGGCCGAGGGTGAGGAGGGGTTGTTGCGAGGGCAAGGGATGGGATTTTGGGGGTCAGGACCTGAGTTATTGGGGGCCTGGGGACCACGTGATTGGGAGACAGGGACTGGTAATTAGGGACAAATTGTTCAAACACAGGGGCTAGATCAGCTCTACTGACAAGGTAGCTGGTGAGCACATGCCACTGCTGAGCAGTAGAAATTTCAGGACTGAGTCCTGGCTGGTGTGATGCTCGGTGGACTGAGCACCAGCCTGCAAACTAAAGGTTGTTGGTTTGATTCCCAGTCAGAGCACATGCCTGGGTTGCAGGCCAGTTTCCAGCAGGGGATGCACGAGAGGCAACTATACATTGAAATTTCTCTCCCTCTCTCCTTCCCTTCCCCTCTAAAGATAAATAAATTAAAAATCTTTAAAAAATATTTTTAAAAACATTGATTGCTTAAAAATAAGTAAATAGATAAATTGTAGAACTGAGACGTGTTCCAGGCATAAGATGCAAACGGCATCGCCAAAACTCAGAGTTAAAAGTGTGTCGAAGATCTCTAATAATTTTATATGATTATCTGTTGAAATGTAGAATTTCAGTTAAAGTTATAATGATCAAAATATATAATTGAATTCTGATGTACTGGGTTATATAAAATATACAATGAAAATGAAGCTCACCTATATCTTTTTTCCACCTGGGCTACTGTGAAGGTTAATTTTGTATATGGGACTCCCATTGTGTTTCTGTCAAGCAGCCTTGGGCTAGATTCCTGGGGGTGGTGACTAAGCCTGAGGGAAGCCCACCAAGATTATCGATAGTGACGCTGGGTGGGCGGAGCTGGGTTAGCTGCAGCGCAGAAAGTCCAGGTTAATGAGAGATGGGGGCTGGGAGACTGGGGGCATGGTCATTACCTCGTTGGAGGCGGACTCCAGGGGCTAAGCTACTAGGGGAAGGGTGGTGGCCTTATTGGGAGCAGAAAAGCTGTGCTATGGGGCTGAGGGACAAGGGGACTGCTCTTCATGGGGCCAGGTGAAGGGGCAAAAGAACTGGTGACTGGGTGTGGGGTGGGGAGGCAGGTGGGGCCCAGCCCCGAACTCACCGCTTCTGCTCCCTAGAAGGAAAGAGAGACACTAGTTAGTGCCTGCACCTCAGGGACATGACCAAGACACCCTGCCGCGCCCCACATCTTTCGGACCCCCAACTCACCTCTCCTCTTCCAGCTTCTTTCTGAGGAGGTCCCGCCTCCAGGCCGGCATGCTGGCCAGCCGGGCCTCCTCCTCCTCCTCCTGAAACGAAAGCAGAGAACTTCAGGGCCAGCCCAGGCCAGGAAGCAGAGGGGCAGGGGGGCGGAGGGGGTGCACCCCAACCCAGGGACCTGCAGGGGTCAACAGGACACAGATGGGGCTGCAGGAAGTTCCCTTTCGACGCCTTCCTACAGGGTGGAAGGTGCCTGGCCACAACCCCCTTCAGCGTTCCTGTTCCCTCTGCCCCCATAACTCAGGCCTGAGTCCTAGAGGCGGCGCCGGAGCCGTCAGAGCTGAGTGTAGGAGGAGGGCAGAGAACGAGACTCCCCACAGAAGCAGGTGGACAGGCGGCCCCGGGCCGTGACCCACAATCTTTGGACAGACCTGTGCTTGGGCGTCCACAGACCCTGCCAGCTCTGAGAGGCTCGGGCTGGGCCTGCGTCCACTGTGAAGGACCTCCCGGCCCACTCCTGTCCTATCCTCACAGGGAGCAGACACCAACTCCACGACTGTGGTAGGGGGCATCCAACACAGGCGGCTTGGAGCAAAGAGTTTTATTACTTGCATGTTACAGAGAACACGTCACATGGAACACTGCACACATGGCTCCCGTGCCCTCAACCAACGAGGTAGCTGTGAACTCCAGGAAAAATCCAGAGAGTGAGAGAAAGAGAGAGAGAGCCACACAGCCCCAAGGGGGACACAAGGTCCCTCACTCACAGGGGCTGCATCTTCCTCCTGGCTCCACCCGGAGCCAGCCAAGGCTGTAGGGGCCAGAGGGAATGCCCGGTCCGCCCTGTGCCAAGTGAGGCCTATCCCGGCCAACTCCCCACACCCAGCCATGGTGGGACCTCAAAGGCAGAGGCAGCCTGGTTCTGGGCATTCTGGGCTCTCCAAGGCCACCTTCCAGGGTTCTTCCTGACGCCTTTGGCCTCCGGAGCACATCAGCCAGGCATCCAGGCCCAAGTGAAGATGCTTGAGGGAAAATTCTGAAATCTGCTGTTCAGATGTCAAAAAGCTCTGACTCCTTCTCCTTCCAGAAGGAGAAGCTGCGGTCGATGTAGCGGCAGATGTCCTCATCGCTGAACTCGCCCATGCCTGACAACAGCTCCAGGGGGTCCTCAGCAGGGGCTTCAGAACTGGGAGGGTCCCACTGGGTCGGGGGAGGCGCGGCTGGCGGGGGAGGGGGCGGGGGCTGCGGTGCAGGGCCCGGGGCCTCGGGATGGCCCTCTGGCCAGTCTTCCCTCTGAGCTGGCTCAGCCTCTTGGGCCGGCTCCCTCTCCTCCTCCTTGTCTTCTTTCTCCTCTTCCTGCTCCTTCTCGGCCTCTTCCTGCTCCTTCTCGGCTTCTTCCTGCTCCTTCTCAACCTCTTCCTCCCAAGCCGGCGTAGCCTCCGGGCCGTCTCCAAAGAACTGATGCTTGAGGTCCTCAAAACCGTCGCTCCAGCCTCGCCGGCCAGCCTCCACCTCCTCAAGCACCACGCGGTGGAACTGGCGAATGAGCTCCCATGGGTGGCTTCCCAGCCGGTCGAACATCTCGTAACACAGCAGATGGCGGAACTTGCGCTCCTCGCGGCTCAGGCCCATCTCAAGCAGCTGGAAGTAGCCGAGCATAAAGAGGTCCAGCGTGAGGCTGTCGTAGCGCGGGGGCGCGCCGCCGTCCAGGGGCGGTAGGAAGTGCTCGGGCCAGTACAGGCCGTGCGCCAGGCCCGGGCCGCAGGGCTGGCTCACGGGCACCTGCCGCAGCAGGCTCTGCCATCGGCCCAGCAGCTTGCCCACCACCTGCCGCTGCTTCAGAAGGCGCAGCAGCCGCTTGTCGGGGCCGTCCCCGGTCGGCAGCTGCGGGACCTCGGAGGCCTCCAGGGCCTCAGGGACCGGGTCGGCGCCGGCGGCCACCACCCGGGGCAGCAGTCTGCGCAGGCGCGTCTGGGCTTGGCGCCCACGGCCGTGGAAGGTCCACTTGCGCCAGTGCTCCAGGAAGAGGTAGACGATGCGCTCCTTGCGCATATCGATGTAGTCCTGGACGCCGCGCAGCTCCGTGGGGAGCGGCGGCCTGCGGGCCAGCTGCTCGGGCTCAGGCAGCGCCGCCTGGCGGCCTGGCACCTCGGGCGGATCCAGGTAGGCCTGAGGCTCCTGCGCGGACGGCAGGGTGTTGGCTGCGGCGGCGGCGCTTCGCTCTCCGGGGCAGGCTGCCATGTAGTCCTCTTCGAGAATGGGTTCCCTGCCCGGGGCGCCTGGCGACAGCGAGTATTTGCGGCGCGGGCTGCGCGGGGGCGCGGACCCCTGGGCCCGCAGCTCGTAGATGGCTCGGAGGTGCTGCACCGACACGCCGCACTCGAGGATCTCGCGCGCCACAGCCTCGCGGCACCAGCTGAGCGAGTGTGAGCGTCCCAGGCAGAGCGGGCCCGGCCGCCAGGGAGCGTCGGACAGCGGCGCCAGCGGCAGGCCGGTGTCGGCGGCCAGTAGGTCCGCCAAGTGCGTGGGCCGGCCGCCCAGGGCGGCCAGTAGAGTGGCCATATTCTTGAGCAAAGTGGAGATCTTGCTGCACCAGGCGGGCAGGCTAGCGGCGCGGCCGTGCATGCGGCGCGGGTCAACCGTGAAGCGCGGCGCCGACAGAGCGGCCGAGATGGGAAGCAGCTGCTCCAGCTCCAGCTCCAGCTGCTTCAGGTGCGCCTCCAGCTTTTGCGCCTTGTGCAACACCTGCAGGTTCTCGATTTGCTGCTCGATGCGGAGGATGTCAGCCTCGGTCATGAGCTCTCCAAAGGGCCCGAGAATGCCGTTGTATTCGCGGGAATACCTCCAGCCCTCGCGGGGGTAGCAGCACGAGCTGGCAGATGTCAGCTAAGGCGGGGAAGACAAGAGAGGGGAGGGAGGCGGGTCTCCCTCTGGCCCGGCTCCCGCGGCGGCCGCCGGGGGGCGCCCTTTGCATGTCCCAGGTGGTGTAATGGCTCCGCGGGGCTGTTTGCTGGGACGAGCCGCGCCTCGCCGGCGGGCGACTACACTGGGACGAGGCTTCAGCCCAGGCCGCCGCTCCCAGCGCTGGGCAGTGTCCGCTTTGTTCGCTGGCGGGGACAGAGTCGGTCGTTGGGCGCTGTTGCAGAGGCAGGACAGGCCGACGTGGCTCCATGCCTGGCTTGGTTGCTCATTACACCACCGAAGAACATGCAAAAGGCATCGAAGCTGTGACGCACGGTGGCCCTCCCACCTCCTCCAAGGACTGCGATTCTGAGGCCACATCCCAGCGAGGCCTCTCCTCGCCCCAGACTGAAGACCCCTTTTAATGTTCCCCTGTGGCCCAAGTCCTCACTATCCAGGATGTCAGCGTTTCAGTCCTGAAGGACAGACTCTTAAAAGAGGCGTGGCTTCCACTCCTATTTACACCCCGTCTCAGCCCTGCAATAGTAACACAATTTGTAGAGCTAGGCTTGCCAGGCTCTTCCTGCAGTCTCAGCTCCCCCTCGCTTTCCTTCATCTCAAGGCCGCATCTTTATTTAGTTCCAGGCTTTTCCAGCCTGGGGCTGGGGGAAGGGGACTGTCCCCACCTCCTTGAAGCCCTCCCAGTGCATCCGGACCCATCAGGATCCCCAGGTACAAACCCAGCGTAACCTCCCTCCCAGCTTCTCACTGCTCCAGGGGAAGTGCATTTTCTTCAAGATCAGGCCTTGGTGACCTGAACCCCCACCCCGCCAACCTCCCCAGCTCTACCCCCTTCCATCCACAGTGCAGTCACTGAGCCACACCCACTGCCTTCCCGGACCGCCCCTCCTGCCTGCTTGCTCTTTGCCCCACTCTCTCCGTTCACTTCTTGCTCATCTTCCAGGTCCACCTTAGACCTCACTTTCTCCTTCCCCAGCACCACCCCCAGCCCAGCTAGGATGGTGGGCTGCCCCAGCTCTCTGCATGTCCCACCGTGACATTGGCCATTTTGTAAGAGCCCAGTTATTTGGGGGCACACATCACTCTGCTAAGGCACTGTGTTTGCTTGTTGGTTGGCCCTTCTGCCCCCTCCTGCTGCCCCCTCAAGAGCAGACCCCAACATAGTCCACAAATTCCCAAGAGGCTGCAACAGTATGTGGCACACCCACAGTACCCAGGGAGCACTTGTTGAACGGACCAGTGACAAACCACCCTGCCAGCCAGTGATGATCAACTCATCTGATAGATGAGGAAACTGAGGCTGGATGAGACTCTATCGCCAGCTGGAAAGTGGCAACGCAGGGACAGAGCCCAGAACTGTCTCACTACAACTAAAAGCCTCTTGGCTACTCAGACTGTGGCCCCCAGACCAACACAGGCCTTGTTGCAGAACCTCAGCCCCGCCAGTGCTCCCGACCCAACACAGGCATTTTCACCAGCTCCCAGGCTGCAGGTGGGGGAAGGGTGGAGAGTCCCAGCAGAGGGAGGTTGTCCAGCCCTGCTTTTCCCCAAAGGGAATGGGAGTTGCCTGAGGTTGGAGGGCTCTCACAGGCGGGGCTGTTGGGACGGGGCGTGGGCCCCGGTGCAGACCCCCAAGGCCTCCGGGAAGCGCCGCACCGCCCACCTTCCGCCTCTGCGCCTCCTCCTCTTGCATCTTCAGCTGCATCTTGCGGACCATCACCTGGCGCTTCCACTCCGGGATGGGCCGGCCCTGCTCATCGTGCGTGGGGATGAGCGCTTCCACGTCAAGCTGCACACCTGGCGCTGGAGTGGAGGGCGGTGCTGGTGCCAGGCTGCCGTTGAGCAGCGGCTGGGGCCCCATGGCTGGGGGGGTGGGGCTCCGGGCCCGAGATGGTGCTGGTGACGCTGGTGGCAGCGGCGAGTCGGGCTGCGGGGAGAAGGGGCTGGGCTGAGTGTGGGGAGGGGCCTGGGGAGCCGGGGCAGGGGGGCCCTCGGACCGCCTACCTGGGATGCTGGCTGTCCGCTGCCGGAGAACACCGTGGTCAGACCCTTGCTCTGGGGCGTGGGTTTCAGACTCTTGCCAGCCTTGATCTCAGCCAGAAGCTCTGAGTTGTCACCCGTCGGGGCCATCATGTTGAAAGACTTGGTGCCTATGTGAGGGTGGGGGAGGAGGCGCTGGCAAGGGGCAGGGTGGTATCCCCTGCGACCCCCACCTGCGCCTCTACTGCCCCCTCCCCAAGTCAGGACAGGCCAGGAGCCTTCCCCTCAGCCCCGGGGCAGCAATCCAGCTCCTAAACCTGGCGGGTGGTTTAGCTCTTGGGGGACCCAGAGTTGGGACCCCCACTGGAAGTTGGAAGCTGTGCAACCCTGCCATTCTCCCAGCCCTACTCACGGGGCGTGGGCCCCTCCCCTGGGGGTCCCTGGGAGTTCATGGCTCCTGGGCTGGTGCCTGGGGCTCTAATGAGTGCCCCCGCCTAGTGCACTCACTGCCCAGCTCCAATACTCCACCGGGGGCCAGCCCCCGACCTTTGTCCCAGGTGCCCTGGCTTGGCCAGGCAGGGTGGAGTCTCCCTCTGGCCCTCTGTCTGCATCAGCAAAGCCCAGTGACCCTTGGACCGAGTTGCCTGAGCCTCTGTGGCTATACAGACTGGGGGCCCTGGATACTACCGGCCAGCCAGCCCCTCCCCCCAACCGCCCAGACAGACAGGCGCGCAGACACTAGTTGCAAGCCAGGAGCACACTTATGGCAAAGCGCTGCTCAGCTGGGGGGGACCCAGGAAAGTAGAGCCCTTACTAAAGATATGGAGCGGGGCACCCCGGAAGAAGGACCAGGCGGGCAGCATGCAAATGTCCACAGGGGAGTTTGCATTTACCAGCAAGGCTGGCAGAGGGGACTGAGGTTTGGGGAGGGCTGTCTGCAGAGCCCAAGGGTGGCCAGGGCTGGGTGAGGGGACTGGCCAACAGCTCCTGGGTCCCCTGGGCTGGGGACACCAGTGCACAGTGGCGGGAGGAGGAAAAGGGAACGGTGGCTGGCAAGCAACATCAGCCAGGCCAAGAGTTCACACGCGTGGGTGTGGGGTGGGGTAAGAGGGCAGGAGTGGAGCAGAGGCTCCGACTGTGGCACAGAGGACCCCTCGCCAGGCACCTGCCCGGCCCTGCCTTTTCCTCAAGTCCCTTGCCTGTTTGGCCTTGCTTTTCCTGAGCAAGCTTTGCCCCCCCCCCCTTGCGCCTCAGCCAGGAGCCGCACACGCAGCTACTCACTCTTCCTGTGCCTCAGGACTCTCACTTCTAGGGACCGAGAGGAGAGAAGTGACAGCGGAGTTAGGAGAGGCAGGGCCTCGGGCGGAGGCTGGGAGAGCGGGGACAGTGAGAGAGGGCCCAGGAGGGCAGGAAGAGGGAAGGAGGATGTGCAGAGGAGGGGGAATGGGGCCCATCTGACCCTGGGTCAGGATGAGCGGGGGGGTTCCACAGGGATGGGTGCCCCGAGGGCTGGACCGGGCTGCCAAGGCCCAGGTCCCCCTAGTGAGAGCCTCCGTCTCGGCAGTGGGTTTGGCTCGGGCACCCAGAATGGGCTGTGCTGAGAAGGGGTGTCTGAGAAGCCCAGAGTCTATTTTTCTCCAGTCCCTAACTTCAGCCCTGCTCCAGGCTGCAGAAGGGAGAAGCTGAGCCCAGCGCCGGGGGCCATTCTGGAGGCTAAGCTGGTGGCAGACATGTTGTCAGGGACTGTTGTCTGCAGAGGCTGGTGCTCCCTAGGACCCCCAGGGAACACAGCTGGCCCTCCCCTGGGCCCTACAGTGCCTTTGCGCCCTAGTCTGCAAGATGAAGCTTTGGGTCCACTACGCATAGTCCCCACACTGAGTGGTTGGGTGAGAAAGGTACTCCCTGCCAGACTGGGGTGGGACTACAGAAGCCCGGGTGCGTAGGGGATTGCCCCATAGTACATATTAAAGCAGCTCAGGGGCCTTGGCCACCAGTCCAACTCTTAAAAAAGGGGTGCCCGGGAGAGTCACCAGGAGGGACAGGCATGATGGGTCGCTGGCCCTGTCCGCACAGCCAGGCCCTAGCTGGCCTGGGGAAGACATGGCCTGGGAGAGGCCCTGGTGCATCTGAGAGGGGCTCAGGGCTGTCGCCAGCTTAGAAGAACAAGGAAGGGGGTGAGGAGATGGACACTCAGGCCGGATGTGGGGCAGGGAGGAGGGTGGCCAGCTCCCTGCCTCCTGGAAGCTGGCTCTGCTTCTCAGAGCTTCCCTCTAGTCCGGGCTCATCACCAGAGACAGCTGCCCACAGACCCGGGAGGCCTGCCCCGCTGGACTGGAGGCAGACACAGAGAGGGAAGGGGACGTGCCCCAGGTCACACAGCCCCGCCCTGCTGCCTCGGGGCCTTACTTTAGGGTCAAGTCCTCCCTGGGGAGGGACTGCAGGGAGCCCTGCACTGTGGTACTGGGGACCAGACTTCTTCTAGGTTTCCCTCCCCCTTCAGGGCTAGAGCCGCCCCCCCTGCTCCCGCTCAGTGCACCCCCACTCACTGCCAGTAGAAGAGGAAGAGCGACGCTGCCCGCAGCCAGGGCCGGCGCCCTCCAGGGGCAGCGGCGGGGCGGGCGGCGGCGAGCTCAGGCCCTCCGGCAGGGGCGGCGGCGGCGGCGGCGGAGGCAGCTCCCTGGACGCCTTGGGGTCCGCAGCGCAGCCGTTGTGCACGTGATTCCCAGGGAGCAACGCCGCCTGCGGGGGAGCGGAGGGGCCAGCGAGTGAGAGGTGGGCGGCCCGGCCCGGTTCCGGGCGGCCGGCGGGTGCGGGCTGGCGGGCACGCACCTCCTCGCTGTGCGCCATGCCCGGGCGAGCGGCCGGCGGCTCCCGGGGACAGCGGCCTAGCTGGCGGTAGTAGTCCCCCGTGCTGGGCTGCTTGCTGAAGGCGCGGGGCTTGCGGCCGGAGTCCTGCCTGCGCAGCCCGTCGTGGCCGTCGCGGGAGCTCGGCTGTGGAAAGACGGCGGGGAGTGTGGGCTCCAGGCCCCGGTCCCTGGGGCCTCCCACGCCGACCCACCCGGCCCGCACCTTCCCAGGGGGCTCGCGGCCAGCGACTGTCGAGGGTGCCGCCGGCCGTGTTCCTAGACACCTGCCGTCCTCAGAGCGGGAATGGGGCGGGGGTCACGGGGCCTCAGGGCCTCGGTGGACGGGCGGGCTCACTGGCCCTACAGGGAGGGGTTCTGGGCAGGGGCCCCCACTGAGGCTGGAAGGGGCGGGCCCAGGGGCGGGGTGGCCCAGCCCCGACGCCAGGGGGAGCCGGGAAGGGGCAGCTCCCAGCTTAGCCCGCACTAGAGCCTCAGCCGCACCCCGTTCCCGCTGCCACACCGTCCCGCCCGTCCGCAAGGTCGCAGCCCGGAGGGAGCCCTCTCGACAGCCCGCGTCCTGCTTGCCCAGGGCCCTCGGCTGCCCAGCCCAGGGCTGGGACTGCTCCTACCTGTGCCGGTGCTGGTGGCCCCCGCTGTGCACCTGGTGGCGGGGGCGGCATGGACCCGACACCTGAGCTACCTGATCCTTCCTCTCGGGTTACAGCCCAGCCCGTGCCTCTGGGCGCCTGGGAGCTCTGACGGCCTGACATCACCCGGGCCGGCCAATCCTGGGCCGCGGGATGCGTCGGCCTCGCCACACCCGGCCACCGCACCGCGCCCGCCGGGCGCGCCAGATGTGCCGGTCCCCTGCGCCTCGCTCCCTCCGCCAGGTGCTGCTGCGCGCCGGGCCTTCATTGCCCGGCTCCGTCCCTCCATCCTCCCAGACCCTAGCGCCCGCCTGACCTCGGGCAATGGACCCCTCCCCCATTTGGCCCCCCTGGGTCCCGGGTCATGCCCCCGCCCTTCCCCGGCCGCATCTGGAAACCATCGCCACCCTCGTAAGCGACACCGACACCCTCGCCCAAGCCTCGGGTTTCAGGGGCGGCAAGGCGGCTCGGGTGACAGCTGCGCGCCCGCCCCGTCGTAGCTGTCCCCCGTTAAGCCCTGCTCAGAGAGGACAGGAGGCGGTGGGGCCAAAGGCCGAGTCCACGGGCGGGGTCTGTCCCCTGCCCTACCTCCCAGCCCATTCGTCCCTGCCGTGGCCTGGACCCTCCATGCCCCACCCGACCCGGCTCACGTTGCAGGAAACGGGACACCGCAGGATTGGTTTTCTGGGCCAGCCCGCCCCCTCGGCGCCCCCTGCAGCCCCGAGGTGCACACACCACGACCCTGCTCCGGCTGCGGTCAGACTACCAGGCCAGGGGGCTGGGGGCGCTGCGGGCACACAAAGGGCCCTTTGTAGAGCTGCCCGGAGCCTGCGGCCCAGCACGCACGCACACGGGAGGGGACAGAGACTGAAGTCCTGGCGCTCTGGCTCCAGGGAAGGGAGGGGGCCTCTGTGGGCCACCTGTCCTGTGGCTTTGGGCAGGGCTCACAACCCAGTCAGGAAAGCTCTCTGCCCCCTGCAGGCCTCTCCTGGGCCCCCACCTTTTGGAGATGAAAGGGGAACCTGGCTGAGAGCTGGTGGGAGGTGGGGTGAAAGGGGCGGGCAGAGTCACTGTGGAGGCTCTGTCCCTCCCACCCTACCTCTCCCCCCCCAGTGGCCTTGTGACCTGGGTCACCTGTGGGAATTGATTACTTAGCTTGGCCCTGGAGTGGCTTGCCTTGGACTTGAGAGAGAGCTCCATGGTCAGGGCCTCCACAGGACCCTCAGGGGTCTCCAGCCCACACTCAACTACCTGAGGGCTCAGGCCACCCCCACCCCGCCTCTCAGAACAGCTTTTCACTGTCCCCTTGGCCGGCGCCCCAGGGCCCCTCTAGGCCTCCCTGCCCAGGACTCTCAGGGCTGTCCAGACCAGCCCTCTGTCCCACCGGCCCCACTCTGGAGCCTCTGTGGGGTCCCAGAGGCCCTTCTGGCCTGGACTCCGCCCCTCCACCCCCAGGACTCCCATCTCAGCCTCCCCCTCCACCTCCACGGGCCCTCAAGCCCTAAACCCGGGGTCAGCCTCCTCTTGACCACCCCCTCAGCCTTGATGGACCACCAAGTCCTGCCACTGCCCCCTCCGCGCCCCCCACCTCCAGGCCTTCCCCTCCACGGCCACACCGCCCGAATCCCCCACTCCTAGGACACATTCTCTGCAGACCCCATGACTATCCTGCCACTCCGTGCAAGAGGTGGCGAGGACCCAGCCCCTTGAAAGGCATGGCTGTCTGGGTACATGTTCCTAGCCCTCCCCTGCCCCCGGCTCCCCAGGGGGTGGCCGCTCTGCCACCTATCTCCCTGTGCCCAGCGCCCATCCCTGAGCCCCCCACGGGGCTGACCAGGAATGCGGACTCTTGATCAGGCCATTGGCCCAGGGACCCCCACCCTGTGCCCAAAAGCCAGGCGGTCCTTGGCCTCCACTGTGTCCATCAGCCCAGGTCTGGTGCTGAGAGGCAGGAAGGTGGGTGAAGGCTCACTACCTCCTTTCCAAAGGTCTGGGTCTCCACGTGGCGGAGTTTGCTCTTGGTCTGCATGTAGATGTCAGCGGCTTGCACCCCTACCGGGGGCTTGGGGGCTGGGTAGCCCGGTGGGGGAGGAGGCAGCTGGGTGCCTGGGGGTGGGGGTGGCGGAGGGAAGCTGGGTGGTGGCGGGGGTGCTGTGGTTTTCTCCATCTTGCCCTGGGCCAGGGTCAGCTCCGGGCTCAGCATGTCCATGTAGCTCTGCATGTCTGCAGCTCTGGTGCTGGGAGGCCCTGGGGAGGGAGGGGCGGCTGGGGTGCAAGTCGGCAGAGAGGCTGTCCCCCAGGACCGAGACCCTCTGCAGCCCATAAGCAACTTGCCAAGGGGGGAGGTGGATTGAGGGGTGCAGCCCAGCACGGCCCCACCCTCATCGTGGCCCTGCCCTCCCCCAGCCCTGCACCTGCAGGGGAGAGACCACAGGCTCCAGTGTGGAGGGGAAGCACCGGGGGACTTCGGGCTCCAGGGTGTGCCTTCAGAGCAGAGCCACCTGGAGGGCGGAGGGCCTGCCTTTCAGAGAGGATCTGGCAGGGCGGGTGGCAGCAACATGGACGGCCACACCCAGTCTCTGCAGGCTTCCACCTGGTGGCATGAAGCTGGCATGGCAAGTGGACAGACACCTACACTCGGGGCGTGGTCAGTGTGTGTCTGGCTTCGGCTTGAGCATTTGCGCACTGTGCATGTTTGTGAGTGAGAACACAAGCTTCTCTGTTTGTGAATGTGTTTGCATTAGCCTGTGGACGTGGGTGCGTGTGTGTGAGCACACGGAGGGTATAGAACAGAGAGTTGCAGGCCTGCGTGTAGTGCAGGCGTGTGCATGTGTCTGCACAGCTCTGTATGTGTGGTTGTGCATCTGCATTTGGATTCCGGGTGTACACATGTGCAGGTGTGCACTCTTGAGTGTGTACAGTCTGGGGAACAGTCTGTGCCTGTGCGAGTAAGAATATGATGTCATGTGCAGGGTGCATGTGGGTTTTGTCAGGGAGAGAGCGTGTGGATGTACACGTGTGTTGTGATGGGGACACACAAGCATGAGAGTCACCTGCGTCCCATCAGAACTAGTGTCCTCTCCTGGTTGACCTGGGCAGCCTCCAGCACCAGCTGTGGGCAGCGCGGGTGGCGCTGGCCCTTGGCGCCCAGGGGTCTGGCTCCAGCCTGCTCTCCCCCCTCCTCTTCCCTCCCCCTGGCCCACTCACCGCGTGGCGGGCGCCGGCCCTTGACACTGGACTGGCTGGAGGAGCAGGAGTCGTAGTTGGAGAGGGTGCTGGCGGGCGAGCTGAGGTCGAAGTTCAGTGGCTGGACTGACATGGTGGTGTTGGGGGAGGACATGCCCGAGTCAGGCTGCTTGGTCTCCAGCTCGGCGGACGGGCCCCTGGACAGCACGCGGTGCTCCACGCTCTGAGCAGAAGGAGGGGAAGCCGTGAGGACCACCAGCCCTGAACACCAGCCCGCTCTGGGCCAGGGTCCTGCTCAGGCATGCCTTGCTGTGTGACCTCGGCTACGTCACTGCCCTTTCTGGGCTTCTTCTCTATCACCAGAGCCTCTTTGAGGCTCTTCCTAAGCTAAGAGGCAAGCCCAGCCCCCCAGCAGCAGGACCATGGGTTGCTGGGAAAATCCTTCTGGCCCCGCCCTGCTCAGGAGGGTTGAGAGACCCCCAGAAGAGGAGGCCCAGGCTGGACCCCAAGGCGGGAAGCCTGTGGCAGCAGCTGGGCAGAGGGCCTGGGCTCCAGTGTATGTTTGGGGAAGGGGCTCAGACTCTTCAGCTAATGAGAATACTGATTGCAGCTGGGGGCAGGGGAGGGGTGCACAGCCCCCACAACTTGCAGAAAGGACTGATTCATTACCTGGCCAGTGACCCCTGTTTCTCCTGGCCCAACTAGGCATGTCCCTACAGCAACCCAGTCCCTGTCTCCTGATAGGGTCCCTGGGGAAGCAGTAGGGCCTGGGGTGGCCCCACTGAGCTAGGTGGGCATCGGAGCTGAGGCTTCCAAGCCAGCCATCCCCCGCCACTGCCAGTGCCCCTGCCCACAGGCCTGACCCCCCTGGCGTGGGAGCGGGCTGGGGTGGGGGCCCTGCTTACGTTGCCCATGCTGGCCCTGCTGCCGCACGCCTGCTCGCTCGCTGCTCCTGCCCAGGCCTGCTTCTCCCTGCCCCGCGCCCCCTCCCTGCCTGAGAAGTGTCACAGGCCCCCGGGGAGTGGGAGGCAGGCCTGGCACCAGGTAACGGCTCAGCGGCCACGCTCATTGGCCTGTAATTAGGGGCTCTGTGGGACCGTTTGCTTTTTCTGGGCCAGTGTCCTCTGTGGCTGGATCTGTCACTGTCACCACCAGGCCTGCTTAGGTGAGGGGGCCAGCACCTCCACACTTCACACACTTCCGGGGGGCCAGCCCTGCTGCCAGGATCCGAGGGGACCCACAGCAGCTGAGCTGGGGGAGGGGCAGCTGGGGACGCCCGTTCCTGGGCCCTCAGCCACGGGCACCGCGGGTGCCTGGCCTGACCCCACGGAAAACAGAGGTCAGGGGCAGGGCTGTGCAGCCTGGGATGCTGACTTCAAATCTCCCCTCCCCCCACCTACTAGCTACCTGACCTTGGACAAGCAACTTTTCTTTTCTGAAGCTGAGTCCCTTACTATGATGGGACAGTGCTGCTGCCTGCCCCGGTTAGACTGTGAAAATGACTTGGAAAGTGAGCGAAGTGCCGGGCTCGGTGGCCAGGGAATGCCACATGTAGCGACTATTAGTATTAATTCACTGTGAAGATTAACTGAGATTACACCCTGAAGCAGGAGGCGGGGTGCACTCGGAGTCAGGTTTCCCGGCTGGGGCATGCTGCCCAGTGCCAGCGGCTGCCGTCGGGAGGGGATGGGGACTCCTGCCGCCCCGGCCCCCACAACAGAATCTCAGACTCCCCAGGTGGAAGAAATTCACCTCTGGTGCAGAAAGGCCCCTCCCACTGTTTGCCCCTGCTTGCACACCCTGGTGACGGGGAACTCACTCACTCTATGCTGACCTGCCACTCTCTCTGGGGGGCCCCATCTGGGGGAAGTCCCTCTTCAGGTCCAGTTCACTCTCTGACTCTGGGGCCTTGCTGGGCTGGAGTCCCCAGACCCAGAGTGTCCCATGTGCTCACACACAGTGCAGATGGTACCTGGGGCAGGGGTCCGCCACCTGCTCCTCTCTAGGCCTCATCCTGCAGCCCCTCTCGTGGCCAGGCTTCCCCTCAGAGCTAGTCAGTGTCCTTCTGGTGGCACCCGTGAGACCAGCCCTCTTTCCTCCCTCTTGTCCCAAAGTGAGCACCTTGCCCAATAATACAGAGCCCTGGATTGAAGCCACCCACACCTGAGTTCAAGCCCCAGTGGGTCACTTCACAGCTGTGTAACCGTAATAAAATAATTTTAAAAGAATAACACAGCCCTGGCTGGTGTGGCTCAGTGGACTGAGTGCTGGACTGTGAACCAAAGGGTCGCCAGTTCGAATTCCAGTAGGCCACATGCCTGGGTTACAGGCCAGGCACCCACTAGAGGGTGCACCAGGCAACCACGCATTGGTGTATGTTTCTCTCCTTCTCTCCGTCCCTTCTCCCCTCTCTAAAAATAAATTAATTAATTAAATAAAAAAAAGAACAACACAGGTTTCTTGCTGCGAAGTAGTTCACCGTAAGTGAACATGGATGGGGTGGTGGTCAAGGGAGGTGGCCCCAGGTCAGGCCACTGAGCTCTACCACTTACCAGCCATGGGCCTTGGGTCTCCCCGAGTCTCCGTGTACCTTGAAATGGGGACACTAACCCTACCTACCTGGGTGGGAGGTGGTGAGAGTTAATTGAACTGTACATGTGGGCTGTGGCCAGCTGAGCTGACGGTGCTGTTCGTGCTCATCAGCATGACCCCAGTCCTCCTTCTCTTGACCTTTTTGCCTCCACCTCCCACTCGTCAGTGGTCAGTGGTCTGGGCTTAGAAGTCACATGGAATAATGGCCTAGGGCCCTTACTCTTTGTGTGATCGCGTAGCCGCACCTCGGCTTCCTTGGTGGTAGAAGGGGTAACCAAACCTACCTCTGGGGGAAGGGGAGGGTGGGGCCCGGGATGAGATAACGGGGAGCAGCGTCCAGGTCATACCAGGTTCTCCACTGTGCGCAGGTAGCGGGTGCAGTGGCTGTGGCCATTGTAATCTGAGAGGTCGGCGGCTGTGTATCCATCGCGGTCGCGGACGTCCAGCTCCGCGCCGTTCACTACCAGGATCTGGCAGCACTGCAGGGCCACGCGGTGAGGACCCCCGCCGCTGGCCCGGACCCCCGTGCCTGGGTGGCGCTGCGCTGAGAACCCGGCTCCGGGAGAGTGCGTCCGCCCTCCTGCCCAAGACCCTCCCCTCCCGGCCGCGCCCCGCCCCGGCTTCGCCTTCACCTCCAGCTCTCCGTTCTCGGCGGCGTCGTGCAGTGGGGTCCCGCCCCACAGGTCGGCCGAGATCTCGCCGCCGTGCAGCAGGAGCCAGCTGAGCACTTTGGCGTGGCCGCGGCTCGCCGCAAAGTGCATGGCCGTGGCGCCGTCCTTGTCCCGCTCCGACAAGCTCACGTCCGTGAAGCTCACCTGGGCGGGGAGGGGCGGGGGAAAGGGGCGTGACTAGGTGTCAAGCCCTCCTGGCCCCGCCCCGTCCCAGTGCAGGCCCCGCCTCCTCCCGGGCTCCTCCCTGTTCTGTCCAGGAGCTTACCAGCCACACGATGACCGAGCTGTGACCCATCTGTGCCGCAGCATGCAGCGGAGTCATGCCATCGTGGGCGCTCAGGTGCGGGTCCGCACCGCACTCCTGCACCAGGTACTGCGTCACCTCCAGGTGGCCCTCCTGGCACGCCAGGTATAAGGGCGTGGCACCGTTCTTGATTTGGGCATTCACTCCCCTGCGAACAAGAAGCACCCACAGAGGCTCTCAGCGCCCGCCCTCTCTAAAGCCTTCTTGGGAAACTCGCCCCGTTCAGGGTAGCTCGGGAGGGCTGGCCCGGTGGGACGGAGAGGGGCTAGTCCCTGGGACCTGCTGTCCCTGACTCCTTCAGGACTCAGGCCTGTGGCAGCCTCCCGCAGGGGCCCCTCTGGCTTGCCCCCTGCTTTCCTCCTCCCCAGCAACCTGCTTTCTACAGTGCACATCTGACTGAGCTTGTCGCCATCCTCAGTAAATAGCCCACCTTTCCGCCAAGGTCTACAAGGCCACAGTGACCCAGCTTCCCCTATCCTTTCAGCCACACAGACCTATACCTGCCGTCTGCTCTCTGCCTTGGGCCATTCCCCCTGCCCCCAGAACACCCTTTCCTCCTCCCTCTTTAATACTCAGTACAGATCCCTCCTCCATGAGGCTTACCCAGGCCCCCCTGGGCAGAGCAGGCCTTCCTTACCTGTGTGCCCCACATTGCCCTGGGCCCATGGACCACCTGTCGGGCCTGGTTGAGGGTAAGTGATTTTGGCCCCTGCCTCCCGCAGAAGTTTGAGTCCCCACAGGGCAGAGTGGTGAGGTTACCAGATAAAACACAGACTGTCCACTTAAGTATGAATATCAGATAAACAATGAGTCATTTCTCAAATATATCTACATCCCAAATACTGCATAAGGTACACTTGCACTAAAACACGATTTGTTGTTCAACTGAAATTACAGTTCAGCCGGGTACCCTGGGTGTTGTTAACCAGAAACCCTACCGAGGACTGCTGCTCAATGCACTGTGTTGTAATAGGCACGGGCAGGTTCCCATGGAGTGACCCTTTTGCAAAGAGGCAGTTGAGGCTCAGAGGCCGTGACTTTTGCTGTGACTTCTGCTGTGACTTCCAAGTGGGTAGCACTGCCCAGGGTGCAGTTACCAGAGCCGGGCACTGGGTGGAGCTACAATCTAGGCCCAGACCCAGTAGTTGCCCATCAACCTCCCCAGCGATGCTAAACTCCGGATCGGGGCTGGGTCCCACTGTGCGGGATCAGCCTCTGTGCCCCAGGTGGTGCAATTCTTTCTGCGACTTCACTCCTCTACCCCTTCACTTCACCAATCACATGCTCCACCCATCCTTTCACACCCTCCCTCCCTTCCCCTAGTCCAATTGCCGGCCACTAACACAGGCACCAGGGTACTCGCTACTCTCCCATCATCCCACTCACTCACCGTCTTGTCACCCCCAACATGACGTGGCCCTTCCCTCTCAATCCCCTCCCACCAACCTCCTAGCTGACCTCTCCCTGTCCCCCAAACCCTGGCCTCTGTCCACTTCCTTGACCCCTGGCAGTGCCCACCAAGCAGCCAGTCCCTGCCCTCCACTTCCTCCTGACCCCGGCTGCCCTCCGCAGACACAGAGCTGCCATTGGCTGGGCTGACGCTGAGCCCGGCGCTTCACACATCTGGGGAGGAGCAGGGACCGTGCCTGGCTGCCCCCGTGACCCTACCAGTGTCAGGGATAGAGTGGTGTCCACCGGCTGGCGCTGCTGACACAGCACGCACGGCAGAGACCCACGTGCGCGCCTCACCTCCGGAACAGGTTGGAGCAGGGCCACCGGCTTCCACGCCAGCCTCGCCCCCCCCACTCACATGTTGGTGCCTCAGTAACAGCCCGTTCAATATTTCATGACTGACACTCAGAAGCCTGAATTATTCACCCCGTAACCAAGGCACAAGGAAGGCTGGGGTCCTGGGGATCAAAGGTTAGAGGGGCCGCCGCCCAGGGCCACCTGGACTCTCTCTGGGGTTGCCTGAGGCAACATAACCAGGTCGGGGCACCAGCTCTGCCAGGAGCCCTGCCCCCTCCCTGCAGCCCCTGCTTGGCAGGTATCCATGACCCGGGGGTGCCCGGCAGCCTGAGAAGGTCTGAGAAGCTGGCAGGCAGCGGAGCCCAGGCAGGAGGGGGCGGTCATGCCCCCCCCCCCCGCCTCCTGCCTGTTCACTGGCTGCCCCCTCGGCTGGGGCCCCTGGGGCAGAAGAAATGCTCCGTGGCTGTTCCAGCCCCAAGCTGCTGTTATTAGTGTTTCGGCCTCAGTACTCACGAGCCCCAGTTGGGACTCACAGCTCCGGTCTGAGAGACCCCAGGACACGGGGTGGGTCTGCTGCTGGGCCAGGGTGGGCAAGGGGGCCAGGGGGATGGGTGCCCTCGTGTTGTAACAGTGTGGATGGACAGAAGGAACACATTAATGAGGGAGGGATGGGTTGGCAATAGTAGCAGTAGCAGTAATAATAATAATAATAGTTGGCCATAGTGGCAGCAGGTACCATCTATGGAATGATTTCTCTGCTCCAGGCCCCGTGATGAGCGTGATTCACACGTACTTATCTTGTCCTTGTGAAATGACCTTATGAGGTAGATGTCACCACTGCTTTCCTTTTGCATACAGGGAAACTGAGGCACGGACAGCCAAGACCACTAGTGAGAGAGAGGCCCAGAAGGACCTGGGTGTAGGAGGACCTGGCTGAGCTTCTTCGAGCTGCGCCAGGGTCCTGCCCCTGTCTTTGGCCTTCTCCGGGCCATTGGGAGGGGGAGGCAAGTGCTTCACTGTGAGACACACCCGGGAGGCCCTCAGCCTCTGCCTGGTGCCGGGCTGCCTTTGGGGATCCCTCGTCTCCGCGCCTCTGTGCAGGGGGCACTGCTGGCCTGGGTGCCCCAGCCTCACCAAGCAGGAGTCACTGACTAGAGGAGAGGGGCAGGGATCAGGGGACCTGTGGACCCCACCCCGGTCCGGCCCATCAAGCTCCAGCCACGGTGACCACCTAGGGGGGAAGCGGTCTGCTCGACACAGCTGCTGGGCCTCGCCCTGGCCTCTGCTCACCCCCCGGACTCTGCAACTCACTGCATGGAGCCCCTGTGAGCCTCCTGAGCCTCGGTTTGCACACGTGGCAAAGGGGCACCGCCGTTGTTGGGCCGCTCCATGTTTCTTGTGTAGAACGGGGGAGGGAGCTCTGCAAAGCTGCACGTTCCCTGAGGGAAGGGTGCTGCTGTCACTCCCTCCCCTGCCCTCCCCCCCTCCAGGGCCACAATACGGACCCTGGCACATCCTCATGGGGCCTGGCCACTCCCTCACAGGTGCCCCGCCCCCTTGGAACACCTGTTCTTCCTGGCTTCCCGGGCAGGACATCAGCCCCTGCCCCACTGACCTCCAAATGTCGGTCTGCCCCAGGGCCTCCTTTCTAAGTTCACTCTCCCCCTGGTGAGGTCATCTACTTCCCAGGGTCAAAGGCCACCTGGACCCCATGCCCATATCTCCCCAGCTTGGACCTAGAGCCTGCACCCTCCCCCCACCTCTGCCCACTCACCCATCTATGCGTTGGCCAGGCCTCTTGACCTTTCCATGCCTTGGGTCACCCTCTGCGGTTCTCCCTCAAACCTCCCTCCCCTCACTGTCCCTTACACGGCTGAGGTTCCCTAGGAATGATCGCAGATATGATTATTTTCCTCCCCTCGGGGAAAGAAGATGACGAGGACACACTGTAACCACCGAGCCAGCCTCCCTCTGGCGGCACAGAGGGAGCAGGGAGCGCTCAGGAGGGCCTGCAGCGAGTCTCCGTCCGGGATTGGCGCCAGGTTCTGCTCCTGTTGCCACAGGAACAGGGCATGACCCGCCCACGGGATGTGACCCAGGCTCGACGGCACTTTCAGGGCTCCCAGCGCCTGGCATCCCCGCCCTGAGGGCGGGCCGGCGGGCAGAGAGGACGAGAGCCCACCGCGCAGTAAGGCCGCTCTGAACGGAGGGCCCCGCGGCCTTTGGGGGTCTCCCTCTCTTGTCCTCCAGTCACACCTCCTGGCTCCTTTGAAAAGAGCCCACGTTAGGGAAGAACTGCAGCCTCATTGAGGAAGATTCTAGAACAGTCAGCTTTGCACCCAATTCATCAGCAAGCCTGGAATGTCTCACGAAGCCTACACTTCCCTGCAGCTCTGCTCGGCTTCCGGGCTTCCCTGGGGTCCTTGGGGCGTCCAAGCGTGGGCCCCCTCAGGCCTTGCCGACACTGGGTCTTGCCACCAGACCACCACGCTGGACCTTGGCACCGCCGTCCCCTCTTCCTGTTTGGGTCTCGGCTTAGCTCTCACCTCCTCAGAGAGGTTTTCTTTACCCCTCCACCTAAAGAACACACCTGTCTCTTCCTACCAAACGCCCCCACTTCAGGTGACAGCACCTGTCACCCTTGAATCGTCTGGTGCACCCGTTTCATTCATTCCAGGGACACCTCACACAACTGCCCAGCCACATGCCAGGATGCACAGAGCAGCGGAGGACGCAGCGGTGCGCCCCTCAGAGCTCTGTGTCCCGGGGGCCGCCAGACCACAAAGCGCCACATGCGAGCAACTAGGCCAGAACTTCTCTGAAGGCAGCACGCGTCCCTGCTCCGTGTCCCTGCTCCATCTCCTTGTTCGTTCCCTGCAGGCCAGCACTGCGAGGCCGAGAGGGCTTGCCGATCTCTTGACCGGGTGGGTGCTCAGCTGCCGCCTGTTGGGTGAGTGCACTCTGGAGGGCGGTGGGCGGCCGGGCCAGGGGCTCTGTGCCGCCTCCGCACACTGGGCCAGAGCAGGTTAGCTCCGTTTGCCAGAGGGGCCCGGGGACCCAGGAGGGTGTTCTGTCTGAGGTCCCGTGCAGCGAGCTGCAGGCAGGGCCTGACAAAACCTGGGATTCCAGACCCTGCATTCATCCGATAAAAAGGTTGTGGAGTCAGGTGCAGGGCGCAGAGGATGGGGACGGCGGGTCTGCTCTCCTTAGTGGGCGAGGCAGAGGGCAGAGGTGCACAGACATGCGTGGAAGGTAATGCCAGGCAGTGCGAGGGTGCTGGGGGGAAATGGGGCGGGAAGATGGGGAGTGGTGTGTGTTGTGGGGCATGTTATGACCTGAAAGAGCTAGGGGCAGGCGGTATGGAGAGGGGCGGAGCAGAAGCTTGAACTTGACAGAGGGAGGGTTCTGTGGGGAAGAGTACCAAGAGGAGGGGACAGCCAGTGTGCAGGCCTGAGGGTGCCTGGAGGAGCGGAGTAGGTGACTGGGGAGCCGTGGAGGCCAGGAGGCGGACCAGAGTGAGGAGGGCCGCTGAGCCATAGTAAGGAAGCGGCTGCCCTGTGAGTGGCGGGTGGCCTGGGCTGGACAGGAAGAGAGTGAGGACCAGGCAGGGAGAACTGTCAGGGCCCCGGTGACCTGACCAGGAGTCAGGCTTGGGCCAGGAGTTGCTGGTGGAGGTCAAGGCTGCCCCCCCACCCGGGGAGGAGCTTCTCCAGACTCCACCAGGTCCCTCCCCCTGGGAGGAGCTTCTCCAGACTCTACCAGGTCCCTCCCCCTGGGAGGAGCTTCTCCAGACTCCACCAGGTCCCCCCCTCCTTTCTTAGAGCCTCCCCCTGGGTCAGGGTCCCCATGTAGACATGTCCGATCAGGCTCTTCCCGGGCACTGCGGCCCAGCCGGCCTCTGCCAATGCCCGGACAGACCGGGGGGTGGTAGCTGAGAATAACTGAGCCCCCACTGCCGTGATGGCAGCAGATGCTCAGCATGGAAGGGGCCGAGCTGGGCTGGCAGAGCCTCCAACCTTCAAAGGGGGGCCGCTCTGAGGGGTGAGCCATGCGGCTTCCCACTCAGGATGGGGGGATGCCGGAACCCCTCCCACTGGGCTATGGAAGCAGCCAGGCCCCATGAAGCTTTGCACTAAGCAGGGAAAAAGGGTGTCCCCAACAACTCTGAAAGGCCCTAAGGGCTCAGGACCTGATGGGGCTGGGAGATGGACCCGGAGAGGATGTGCGGTGGGACCCACAGCGAATCGGGGGGGCCTCGGCAGGGTCTCTCCGAGACGCCCTTCCTGTATCAGTCAGCTCCACGAGGCAGGGACATTTGTGTGGTTCACCGATGTGTCTCCGGCACTTAGGATATTGCCTAGCACATTCGTTGAATGAGCTGCTCTGTAAAATGGGCCAATTATAGAGTTGGTCCCTCTGGTAGCTGCAAGGCTCACACCACTGCTGGGGGCCAGGCTCCTAGGGGACACTCAGAAGGTAGGGGCTGTTCTGAGTTTGCCCTGACTCCTGGCCAGGGCGCTTTCTGATGATCTCTGTCCTGGACCTGGGAGGTCTTGGGCGCAGAAGACACTTGGAGGGAGTGGGAGTCGATACAGATCTCCTGGCAGGCGGGTTCTCCAGCTGGCTCTGACTGGCAGGGCATGAGCTCCGGGGGAGGAAGCGCCCAGAGCCTCAGCCCCGTCCCCTGCTACCCCCAGCCTTGACGTTCAGGCCAGCGGTCCTAGCAGAGCCTGGGGCTTCTCTCCAGCTCAGAGTGAGCATGAGGTGGTCCTGGGGCCCCAGGACCCTTTGGGCAGGGTGGTCAGAAGCTCTGGGGGCTGCTGGCACCTCGTGCATGCTGCTGGCCAGGAGGGACGGCCCCCTACCCACCCAGGGCCTGAACCGCCCAGCCAGCTCCGACTGGCCTCAGTGCCTCCCGCTCAGGGAGCCTCTCTCTGCAGAGGCCTCGGTGCAGGGTCCTCCAGGACTGCAGACTCCAAGGTCATGGTGGCAATTCCTTGGCCCCTGGGAGGATTTGCCCAATGGATATACTGGAGGAGGGGCACGTGGCTGGGCGGGATCTCAAGCCCTAACTGACACCCCGAGGTGCAGCCCTGCACTATCTGGGCCCTCCCCTGAGCCTGTCCAGCCCTCCTGCGGCCCCACCGCTTGCCAGTGCCATGGCCCGAGGCCACCCACAGCCTCCCTGGGTGGGATCGAGTTTCCCACTGGCAGGGCTGGGAGCCTTTCCTCCCTCACCCACCCGCCAGGGAGAGCTGAGCCCCTGTGAATAATTCACAGGCTTCACAGCGGGCGGAAGGCTCACGAGAGTGAGAGCAGGGCGCTGCAGCCTCCGAAGGCCGGCTGCCTGGGTCCCTGACTGTGCCCGAGGCGCAGGGCAGTCCCAGCCTCCCCTTCCCAGGTCCCTGCCCTGGGGTCCCCAGGCTTGGAGAGCAGGAGTCTCCACCCCCAAAGTAGGCATCCAGGTGGGCATGGGCCCACACCCCCTCTACTGTCAGTCCCCGTCCCCCCAATTCCCAGCTACCTGTCCTGCTTAAGCTGAGTCTGGCACCCACACAAAAGCGCCTCCTTATCAGCAGGGACACACGCGTCGCTGGTGCGGGAATAGAGCCGGAGCCCTCTGTCCACCTCCCTGAGATTCACAGTGGCCTCTGGGGGGCTGGCCGTTCATCAGCCCAGCCATCTGGCTGGAGTCAGCCTGGCCCAATCACAGCCAGCACCCGGCAGGGCCTGGGAGGGCTCAGGGTCCCCAAGGCCCCAAGCCAGAGCGGCTGTTCCGGGGCACAGCCAAAGCCACCTTCCCCAGGCTTCTAGGTGAGGAGGGCTCTGGGGCCAGCCTGGGGCTCCCATGCCCCTCCCACCTCAGGTCTTTCGGGAGCGTGACAGGAGCCCTCCCGGTGGTCCACACTGTTTGGACTGAACTGGCATCACTACCAGCCTGGCTTTGGGGGCCCTTTATGTGAGAGGGGGAGGCTGGCAGGTGCCAGAGTGTGGCCACAGTCTATCCCTCCCCTCTTGGGACCTCTGTGTCCTCTGCATTAAGCCAGGGGATGGGACAAAAGCCTCAGAATCACCTCTGTGGGGGTGGGGGAGCGTCACAAGTGCTGGTCCCCGGAGTCAGAGTCCAGGGCCCGGCGCCCTAGGGGTGCTGATGGTGCTAGTTTGGCAGCCTGTGCTTGAGGGTCCCAGGGCCTCCTCCCCTAAGCCCCATGCCTTTGACCTGGCCCGAACCACAGCTTGTCCGGAAACAGAGAATTCACACGAAAGTTGTACCACATGGCCCCCAGGAGGGATGACTTCGAGGAGAACCCCTGGTCCGGGAGGCACACCTACTGGTCCCCCAGTGAGCAAACCAGTGAACCCCTTGCTTAGTGAGAGGACAGCAGCCTGGCCCAGGGTCTCAGGGCTGCCCTACATCCCCGCCGATGGGCCTGGGCCCAACAGGCTGCCGGCCACAGCCACCCTGCCAGGAGGCCACGGGACCGGGCCGGCCTCCTGCCTGCTCCCTGGTGGCCAGTGGCCCTGCAGGTGCCCATGGATGGGACCTCTCACCCGGTGGCTGCTGTTCTCAGGCTGGGTCCTCTGTCACCACTTATGCCCTAGGCACCCACTTGTACTGACAAAGGTCACTGGTCAGAATCCCCAGGTCCCCGAGGCCATTGGGCCCCACCCCCTCAGACAGCATCCGGGCAGCTTTCCCCCAGGACTCCCGTTGCCCCCGGCTGCACCTAAGACCTGGCTCCCTTCCTTCCCCAGGACCCCGGAGTCCCCTGCTGTGCACTGAGCCCCCTTATTCCACAGGCCCCACCCCACCCTGAGGAGACCCCACCCACTGCTCAGTTGCTCCCTCGGCCCAGCCACTCAGGCCCCTGGGGGGTTGGGACCCCCACCGCCTTGGTGGTGGGAATGGGCTGGGGGGCCAGAAGGGCGGGGGTCTGGGCGGGCGGCCGTGTCCTTCCACTTCTGCCCGAGTGCCATGCTCCTTCTCTGTCGCCTTCCTCACTAGGGTCTCGGAGAGGATCTCATTGCTGCACCCCCATTTAGAGCAGCCTTGCATATGAGCTCAGGCCAGAGCTAGAGGGAGTCCCCAGGGCAGGCTGGTGAGCACCTTGGCAGGGAGCAAGGGATTTTGGCCCTGGGTGCCCAGCCTCCCAGGGGCAGCTGCGTGCTGTGGGGGCCGTCTGCTTGCAGGGCTGTGGGGCAAGTGACCGTGGGCCGCCTGCCAGGAGGGGAGAAATCTCAGCTTGGGTAGGAGCAGTGCCTGGCCTGGCCCTCTGGCCCTAGCAACGGTCACTGCCCCAGGCATGCTGGAGGGGCACAGCAAACTTCAAGCACCCTGGGAGCCCTGGCCAGCCCCACCCGAGGCCCCATGGAGGGGTGTCCTTACTCAGGGTGGTGCCCGATGAGAAGCCTCAGCGAGGGGAAGTCTCCTTTGGCGGCAGCGTAGTGGACAGGCAGGGCTCCCGTGTCTGTGGCTGCGGAGGGATCCCCGCCGCCGTGGCGCAGCAGCCAGTCCACCACCTCGGGGTGGCCGAAGCGGGCAGCCAGATGCAGGACTGTGGCACCAGAATTGTCTTTGTCCTGCGGAAGGAGAGCCCGTTAGTCCTCAAGTCTAGTCGTGCCCCCGTCTCTGGCTCAGGCCACTTCCTGCGCCCCACCCGCACGGGGGCAGCTCTGTCCAGGAACTCCAGTTCACGAGTGGCCTCGCCAAGCTGTCCACGTGGGCTTTCAGAGAATGGCAGCTCACGGCTGTGACCTGCCGGCACGAAGTGGGCGTTCAGGCTGTGGCACCCTGCTCGTCCCAGCGGGAGCTCCAGCGTTGGGCCAAGACCCTACCTGTTGCCCGGGTGCTCAGAGAATGCCTGTGTGATGGAGCAAGAGTGGCCGGGCCAGGGAGGGGGAGCTGCTGGGGCCACACCAGGCTGGTGTCTGGACCACTGGGGCGCCCTCTGCATCCAAACCTTTTCCCCTTCCTCCACCCAACCCCAGGTGCCCAAGGGGAGAGGTCTCCAGATTGTTGGAGGGGTCTCCAACAACCCAGTCTTGGTACAGAGTACTCTTCCACTTCCAGCCAGGAAAACAGACTGCCTCCTTGCCCCATGTCCTTGCCCTCTGGGGCAGTTGGCTGGGCCTCGGCAGTCAGCCAATGGTGGTAGGTGTGGGTTAGAAGCAGCCCCTGGGAGGCGGGTAGGCGAGACCCCCTCCCAGGCACCCCAGAGCGAGTGGGGAGATGGTCCGGGCCCAGAAGGGGCCGATGTGCCGTCATGAAGACCCAGGCATGTGCGTCTGCTGTGGGAGGGATTGGAGGGTGCTGCTTCCACGACCTGGGTGAGGACGACACGCACAAGGAGTGCAGAAGTCTGGACTCAGAGGCCGGCTGGCCACTTTGGGAGGGTGGGCCTGGGTTCTAGAACAGACCGAGCTCCTGGCTCCAAGCTTGGGGGATGATGAAGGTGAGCAGGGAGCTGGGCGTGGGCAGTGGTGAGAGGCGGGCACGGTTTACTAGAATCCGGGAAGGACGTGCCCAAAGAGGGCACTGTGGGGACAGGTGTGGCCGAGGCAGCCTCTCAGGCTCCTGTACGAAAAGTGAAGGGAGAAGAGGGGATGGAGGGGACAGAGCCCAGGGCATGGCTGGTAAGTCATGGAGGCCATCAGCCGGGAAGGAAGCAGGGTGTGCAGAGTAAGGTGGAGGGGGCCGGAAGGGAGCAGCCTGGGCAGCTGAGGATGACACTGAGACCCCTCTGTGTGCTGGAATGCCCGGGCAGGACCAGGAGTCTGGCACTGGTCCTGGAGAGGACAATGGTGAAGTGTGCCCTGAGCCCAAGGCCCTCAATTCCTCTGGCTTTGGGGACTGGGGGTCTGAAGCTTTGGGGGTCCTGCTGGCTCAGGCCTCTGGGTGGGGGTAGCAGTAAGAAGAGGACCCCTGGCCTGTCCCTGAGGCTCCAACAGTTACATAGGCCCCGGGGGCCTCATGTGCTGGGGCCCACACCCTAAATCTGCTTATCTCTCCAGGCTGAGCAGGGCCAGGATCCAGGTCATCCTCCCCCCACATACACTTCCGCCTCCAACACCCAAGCCTGCTGGGGCTCCAGGGTGGGAGAGTTCATAAGCTGGGCACCGGGCCACCGGCTCGTCCACCTCCTCGGCAGTGGCGAGGGAGGCTTCCGGCCAAGGCTGGGCACTGGGATCAGGGAGGCACGCCACCTCCCAGAAGAGTGGGCAGGGACCATGTGCCCAGAACTCTGATAACAGAGCCATCTGGGTGATAAGGGGCCAGGCCATCTCCCAGGAAGTGTGGAAGGGGGGTCTTGCCACCCTGAGGGCAAGGTGGGGTCAGGGGTCTGGCCATCTTCAGGGTACAGCGGAGTCACTCCTGCCTCTTCCACATCCAGTGGACCCAGTGATCTTGCTTAGTGGTCCGGTTCCTCCCTACACTGGCTTTCCCCAAAGACCAGAATGTCTTCCAAGTCCCTATCTGCAGCCTCTGAGGCCCCCTCGGACCTGGCCATGGTGGCTTCTCCCGCCCTCGCCCCGCTCCCAACACTCGCCTCCGCGGCTCGCTCAGCAGGGCAGGGATGTGTGTGCCCCAGGGCTTTGCACTGCTCGTCCCTTGTGCTTGGCACAGTCTGGCTGCCAGCTGCCACTTCCTTCTCATCAGCCAGCCCCCCCCCCCTTAGAGGCCACTCCTCAGAGGGGTCTGTCCTGGCCACCTCTCCCAGGCAGCTCCCTGGTGCTTCCCATCACTTGGCCCAGCAGTAGCTGATGGTACCTGGTTTGCTTTTTACCCTGTGGGTCTGCTGCCTTTTGCCCTGGAGAACTGGAAGTGGTGTGTGTGTGTGTGTGGGGGGGGGGCAGGAGTGCTCCCGAGCTCCCAGGCTTAGTATCCGTCGGACTCTGTTTCCAGCAGGAGAGTCACACAGCAGGGCCTGCACAGCCTTCCACTCAGGCTCAGGAGGGTCCCCGTTTGCCGCAGCCTGCAAATGGGGTCTCACGGCAGGGAGACTTGGACTGCCCTGGCGAGGCAGCTTGGATTTGGGAGGCCGGAAAGGAGGCCAGATTCTGGGCCCTGAGGAGACCCTCATTGCCCAGGCCCACCACCATCTCCCCTCACCTTACCTAGTCTCCAGGACACCCCCATCTCCACCTGGGGTGGGCTCTAAGGCTTCGCCCAGCCCCTCCAGGCCTGATCCTGGAAGACATGGCCTTGCGATCCCTGGCCAGGCCCTCAGTGCCTTGCCCCCTAGTCCCAGTGTAAATACTAGTTTGGCTGAGCCCTGTTCCCTTCGGGTTCCCCATTGCCTGGGTACTTGGCTGGGCAGTGGCCAGGATTTGACCAAGCATCTGCCCAGGTACTTACTCTAACCCCGGGAGCCCACCTCACCCAAGCCCTCTGAAAGAAGCTCTAAAGCAAGTTCGGCTGGGAGGTGCCCCACCCCACCCACTCTTGAGCCCGGGCGCCCCAGGCCAGCACTCTGTCCTGCGGAAAAAGCCTCTGGGCTGCCGGGGAGGAACTAGGACCCACCTGCACTCTGCAGCCGCCCTTCGAGAGCAGCCACTGCAGGCAGGCGAGGTGACCGGTGGCAGCGGCGTCGTGGGCCGGGGTGGCGCCGTTCCGCGCTCGGGCCGAGGAGGGCAGGGCGGCCTCCTCCACCAGGAAGCGCAGACAGTGCAGCTTGCCGGCGCGGGCCGCGTGGTGCACGGGCAGCGCGTCCAGCGGGTCTCGAAGCCAGGGCCCCAGCTGACCGGCAGCGTGCAGGGACTCCAGCACTGCCAGCTCGCCCTGACGCGCCGCCTGCAGCGCCTGCTCCAGGGCCATCGTGCCGCCCGCGGCGCTGCGCCCCCTGCTCAGCGTGCTTCCCCGGGCGCCATGCGCCTGGCCTCGGACACCAGGAGACCCGCGGCGCCGCCGTCGGGGCCCTGTGGGTTGGGAGGCGGAGCGGCTGCCAGCTGGCCTCTGCTCCGCGCTTCTTCACTAGCTCTGCTCCGCCTCCGCTGCGATCTGGGCCCCGGCCCCCGCGGCACCGGACTTAAGCCGCAGCCCGCCCCCCGCACCACCTCCGTCCCGCCCAGTCTGCCCTACGCACCGCCCCTCGAGCCGGATAGCCTTGCCTAGGAGCCAGGTGGCCAGGGAATTTTACTCCGCCAGGTCCATCTGGGAAGTGTCCGGGACTGGGTTTCCAGTGGTGAAAGGGGTGCTCCGGTCAGGGGGACTGCAAGGGCAGAGGCCCAAGGCAGGAGCAGGCCTGCGTGCCCAGGGGCTCCGGGTCTAGGCCCCAGGCGCGACTAGGGTGACCGCACCCCCCGTAGCCCCACCAGGCCGCAGGAGGGGCTCCCAGAGTTTCCAGAGGGGAGGGAGGGAGAGAAGGATTCTGGGTCTAGAGGGGTGCATTCAGGGAGCACCCAGAGTGCTGTCTGGGGTGGAGACAGTTAACCGTGAGCTTCAGGGACCGGGTTGCCAAATGGAGAGCAGAAAAAGCAGGGATGCACAGGCTGTGGGGAGGTTCGCCAGAGCAGTGACGCAGAGTGGGGACGGGCCCCTCATAGAGGGCACAGGAAGGCTGGGGGTCGGGCAGCTGGGCAGGAGAGCGCACGTGGGCCAAACCACCCTCCCTGATGGCTAGGAGCCCTTGCTGGGGGCCTGAGGGAAGCACCGCTGATCCGGCACAGGAAGAGCTGCCAGGAGGTGGGGGCTGCGTGGCTGTGGGAGCACAGCAGCACGTCCTGTGACTTTGAAACAGTCTGTGCCCTTCCTTCCTCCACTCCCCCACCTCTCCCTGGAGCCCCGCAGGGGCCTGGCCTTGGGCTATTTCACCCAGCGCCTAGCCAGCTGGCACGGGGCAGCGCCGAAATGCAGAGCGAGCTGCTTCAAGAACAGTGGGAGTCCTAGGGTGGGATTCTGCGCGTCCACGGATACCATTTCCCGGGACCACCACGCGGTGGCGCTGTACGGAATGGCCCCTCGAGCTCCAAGGCACCCCGAGCACCAGAGCAGCTATTTCACCGTGTGTTGCGGTGGGTTTCCAGTGACTTCTACGCCAGGTCCATCTGGGAAGTGTCCGGGACTGGGTTTCCAGTGACTTCTACCCGGCCAGACCAGCCTTACTCCCCCCGTAAGACCTGTGGCCACCCTGGTTTGCAGACAAGAGAAAGGAGGAGTCCTATCCTGGCAACCTCCCCGATTTGTATTCTTGATGCCCCCTGGAGCTGCCCTTCTCCAGCCCACCCAGCAGGGGGCACACCGGAGGTAGCAAGGGTGCTGCGGGACATGGAGCTGCAACGGCCAGTCTTGCATGCCCCTGCCGGAGCCTCCTCCATGGCTAACATCACGTTCCACAGTTCACAGCCTCCACTCCCCAGGTGGCCCCCAGACACCCTCATCTATTGGGTGGCTTTGTCACCTTGGGAGCCAGGTCCAGATGATGGGCGGCTGCTGTGGCATTTGGCAAAGCGAGAGTCCTCGAACCTCCCTGTCCCTTTCATGGAGGGACGTTTCCGTAAGAGCCACGTGGGAGCACCCGTCCTTGCTGACCCACCTTCTCTGACTCCTTTAAGGACCCACTCAGGCCTGGGCTGAGATCTGGGCCTTCTCTGTCCTCTCTGGGCTCCGAGATCCTGCTGGGTCCTCCCCAGCAAGGACACTTTCCCTCTGCACCTGAACTTCCCTCTGCCTGTTGCACCTGCTCAGCCTCCCACCCTCCAGATGTCAGCTTAGGGACCCCCCACCCCAGGAGGCCCCCTCTCATTCCTCTGCTGGGCTAAGGCCATCCTCCAGTCCCCCCTGCACCCAGGGGCAGGGGGCAGGGAAGGGCGTGTCTCCACCGTACCCTAAGTGGCCCTGCTTCCCTGAGGCCTGAACCCACGCACCCTGCACACTCAGCTGACTCCCCTAAATTCCCCAGATTACAAAGGACCCCCTTCCTCCAGGTAACCAGCGAACCTCCAGGATCCTTTGGTGGAAAGCAAAGGTGTGTTCGTTACCTGCTCACCGGCCTTCACACAATGGGACAGCAGAGCAGAGACTATAATATCCCAGGTGACGGGCACTGAAAAGGGAATTTGCTCCCCAACCCAGGTCTTCCAATGGGGCTCCAAGGCACTGAGCGGGTTCTCTCCTGGCACGAGTGTGGGGGACTCCCAGCAAGGATGTGGAGGCTGGTGCCGGGTGGGCTGTGGGCACGGAACGGGTGAGCACTTGTTGGAGTGACACGTGGGACATCAGTGAGTGACCCACCAAGTCCTTAGTCCTTTTCTGAGCCTTCGTAGGAACCTGGGCTCCAAGATGCAAGGGGGACAGGGGCTGGGGCACCCCAGGCCCTGCATTCCAAATGTGTTGTGTGACTCTCCTGATGCGGACTGGTAAGGGGTTTCAGGGAGGTGGGAGCCAAAAGGTGCTCAGCCCTGCACGGGGCACACAGGTACCAGTAGCCTGAGCGCCCTCTCACCCAGGTTGGTGTTCTGACCGGCGCGCTGGTCTGCGGCCTTGCGGAGAGTGGGGGGAGCAGGCGGCAGGAGGACTTGGGCAAGCTGTGGGGATGGAGACCCCGAGGTCGTTTGGCGGGGGAGGGGCAGAGGCAGGTCCAGCACCCTGGACAGAGTCTGTTTTGGCTGGGCCCCAGGGCATTTTCTCCGGGCCTGGCTGGGTGGGTCTGCCCTCCGCCTGTGGGTCGGCGGGGCGGGCCGGGCCGCCAGGGTGGCGGTTGCCCCACCAGCCGGTTTGGGGTGGGCGGCCCCGAACAGATGGGCAGAGGACGCCCAGCTAGTTTGCTGCAGCAACTGCCACGCCGCGAGGAGGCGGGCCCGCAGCCTCTGGGGCCAAAGCCCGCAGCCGGTGCTCGCACCCAGGACCCCTCCCCCACCCTGCTGGGCTCGTGAACTCCGCCAGTCCCGCGGGTGGGAACGGAGGTGGTGCCAGTCGGAATGAAAATGAGCTCCGAGGGCTCCTGGGTTGCGTGGGCTTCTCTGGGCCTCAGTTTCCCCGGTTCTAACCGAGGGCGGGGAACCAGATGATCCCTAACTCGGAGCGCCACCGGGGGTCGCATGGAGTCCTGAGAGCCCCGCTGGGCAGTCCGGCCAGCGGGGCCCCGTCCCGCCTCGGCCACTTCCCAGGGGCCAGGGCGCGAGCGAGCCCAGACCTTTCTCGGGGTCCCTCAGCTTCCTGCTCAAGACGCTCTGTCTGCGGAGCGACTGGTGGGGCGAGCCCCTCCTGGTGGGAGAAACCCGCGTGGGGGCGTCCAAGTCCTGGGCCTCGGGTCCAGCCGCCACAGGGTCGCCTGACCGAAGCTAGGGCGCGCTCGGAGGTGGGGCTTAGACCGAACGACGGGAGGCGGCGGTGCAGGACGTGGAGGGAGGGAAACCCGCGCGAGGCCAGGCCGGGTCTTGCCGGTGCTGACGGTGGGGCGCCCCGAGCCCGTGACCTCGCCGCAGGTGGGACGGGAAGGGCTGGAGCGAGGTCCACCCCCAGTCCCGTCCTCCTCTCCCTCCCCCTCGGCCAAGAACAAGAGCCGGGGGTGGGACCCGGAGGCGACCAGACTCTGCGGGGCGGGGCGGGCGGGGCGGGCCCGGAGACGCCGCCTCCTTAAAGCCCGGCGGCGGGGGAGGCGCTCTCCAGCGGCGCGGGCTCCGCCAGCGCACGGAGCAGACCTCCCGCCGAGTCTCGGTCTCCGCTCCGCTTCGGGGCGGGCGCAGGTCACCCACGCGCTGGACCCGTATTGGCGCCACTCGGCGGTCAAGCATGGGGTTGCCTCGGAGAGCGGGGGACGCGGCGGAGCTGCGTAAGGTAGGAGCCGGGGCCTGGGGTCCGGGGCCCGGGGGCGAAGCCTGTGACCCGCGTAATCGCGCCTCTGCACCCGCCCGCAGAGCCTGAAGCCTCTGTTAGAGAAACGCCGGCGCGCGCGCCTCAACGAGAGCCTCAGGCAGCTCAAGGGCATCATCCTGACGCTGCTGGGCAGGGAGGTGAGCGGGGGTCCTGGGGCGCGGGGCGCGGAGGGCGGGAGGGCCCCGGAAACGGGCGAGGAGGCTCCGCGCGGCGCCCAGCGCCTGGCAAGGGCTCGGTGCCAGGCAGCCTGCCGGAGATCCGTCTTGATTGTCCGTTTCTCTGTCACTGTCCCCGGTGGCCTGTCGCAGAGCTCCAGCCATTCGAAGCTGGAGAAGGCAGACATCCTGGAAATGACCGTGCGCTTCCTGCGGGAGCTGCCTGCGTCCTCCTGCCCGGAGGCAGCGCCCAGTGAGTGACACCGCCCCGACCCTGCGCCTCACCCCGGCCTCACCCCGGCCTCACCCCGGGCCTCTCTCTGACCCTCATGCGCCTCTCTGCCCGCAGCGCCCTCCGACAGCTACCTCGAGGGTTACTGCGCCTGCCTGGCGCTCCTGACGCGTGTGCTGCCCGCCTCCCGCGTCCTGGAGCCCGCCCTGAGCGCTCGCCTGCTGGAGCACCTGCGGCGGAGGGCGGCCGGCGCTACCCCCGACGGCGGGAGCACTACGGACTCCTACGGCCCACCCTCGCCCTCCCGGCCGCCCGCCCCTGCGCCCTCGCCGCCTGCCGGTCCCTGCTGCTCCAGCCTTTGGAGGCCCTGGTAGCCCCTTGGCCCGCCCACGATCCTGCTGACTGACCCTGGGGCCTGAGGAAGCTCTTGGTGACAACTGCTGTTTCTCACGGAGGGATCACAGCCAGGCACCCACAGCCAGGCGGGAGTCCGGATGTTTGTGCCCCGCGTGGCAGGCTGAAGGCCAGTGAAACTCACTAGAGGAGATAAAGGGAGAGGCCCTGCCTCACCCCCACTCTTCACCGGGGTGTGGGCTGGAGAAGGGGCAGGTGGCCGCAGGAGAGGATGAAGACCCGGCCCCACTGGTGTAAGTGGTGCCAGGCCTGGGCCAGTCCCTGCCACCCTGGCAGCCAACGTACCTGTCCCAGCACTGGTGCCAGAACAGAGGGCTGGACCAGGAGCTCTTCTGAGCCTGAGCCAGGGCAGGCATCTGCTGTGAGTGGTCACTGCCCTTCCGGACGTTCTTGGCCTGGCCTCCTCGCCCACTCTGCTTGGGAAGCTCTGGGCAGACAGAAGCAATGGCCCGAGGGGCTCTGCAGGCCAGGGAGCCATCTGCTCCGCTCCTGGGCCCTCCTGTCCAAAGCCTCCAATCAGAGGGACTGGACGAGCCAGGGCTCCGTGCTGGCAGTGGTGGTGGCCTGGCTAGGTGGGCGTGGGGAGAATGTCCTCCCCCAAGCATTCATTTAACCTGGTGTGTGTGCCAGGTGTGCGGGAGGGGTGGGACGAGCATGAGGGTGCCCAGTACAGAGACAGTGCCCAGGCGAGGTGAGCAGGCCCAGGTCATGGAGCAGCGGAAAGCCAAGGGGTGACCACAGCAGGCTAAGGACCAGGAAACAAGTCTCCTCGTTCGCTCATGTGAACAGTTCCCTGCTGCTCTCCAGGCTGGGCTGCTGGAAGCTACTTGTTCTTAAGACTTTTCTTTCTTCCCTTGGAAGCCATTGGACCTGTGAAGACCAGGGAGGGGTCCACAGATCCCTGGGGTGGGGATGCCCAAGACAAGGCAGGAGCCCCACTGTCGGTCATGTTCCCACCATCCGCTGCGCATCCTCCAGACGGCAGGCGTCCTCCCCTCAGTGCCTAGGCCACCAGCCTGTTCGAGGGTCTGGGGCGCTAGGGGCATGAAGACAGAGTTGATGGGCGGGTTGCCACTAAACCCACGATGACCTTGGTGCTGACTTGGATGGCGTGATGTGGGAAGCTGTGGGTGTCATTGCAGAAGTCACTGCTAAGATAACAGGGTGACCCCCAGCAAGGTGTCCTTCCCACCCCCCTCTCTGGGCCCGGCTGGCTGGATTGTGGGCTCCCGGAGGGTAGAGTTAGGGCTGAGTGCACCCCTGTCCCCAGGACACTGGGTGCACAGTAGGTGCTCAGTAAACAAGGTGGACTAATAAATGGGTGACGTGAGCAGACCATGATGTACTGACCCCCAGACAGCCTCAGCTCCCACCCGGGGCCCTATTGTCCCTGTGAATACTTGCCCCACCAGGCCTGTGCTCCCCGGAGGACAAGAGTTGGGAGGGTGCGGAGCGCAGTGCAGCGGTTTCTGCTTCCTCTTGGCTGTTCCCCACGGGCAGCAGGGGAGGAGGTGGGGCAGGTAACCCAGAAGCCCACACCCCCATGCGGGCGTGGAGTTTCCTCCTGGGGTCCAGGGGTGCACATCGGCATGCGCTGTGCTGGCTCCTCGCCCCTCTAGGCACTTCTGGTACATTTTTAAACTGTGTTAAGAACGGACCACCAGAGGCCCCTGGCCTCCTAGCGGCCGTGTCTGCCAGTTCTTGCTGCTGAGCCCTGTCTGGGTTCCCACTCAGTACTCTCAGTGACGTAACCTCAGCCAAGCTACAGCCCAAGTATCAGGGAGGAGGCAGGTAGAGAGGCTGGTGACTCACAGGGCTGGGCCCTCCTGGGCACCTGAGTGGGCAGCCAGCCTGCTCTGGCAGGAAGCTGAGGTAGGCCCAGAGGGGGGAGGTCCTGGGCCCCAGGTGAGAAGCCAGCTTCCCAGCAGGAATGTGCAAGAGCTGCCCAGAAGGCCTGGGCTGGCTCTGGGACTGGGCTTGTGAAACAGGGCCACCAACATCCTCCTCCCACAGGGCACCTGCTGACACTCCGTCCTCTTGGCAGCTCCCCTGGCATTCCCAGAGCCCTGCCTGACGCCCAAGTTGAGCTCAGGGCCCGTCGGGCTTTTTCTGCGTGGGAGAGAGAGGCTGCCTCCTCTGGGAGAGTTTCATGATGTTAATGAGGCCGACGTGGTGCTCCGGGCCAGGTCCTGGGACGCCCTTTTCGGGGATAGTCCCCTGACTGACTGTCTATCTGGTTATCACGCTTGGTTGGAGGAAAGGGCCCCTGTCCCTCATAAACCGGTGGGCGAAGTGACTCAGTGACCCAGGACAGCCAGAGCACCGAACCATCTGAAAGACTCAGGCCAGAGCCAGGCCCTGCTCATCTGCCTGGCAGCAGCTGATTCGGAGAGATCAGATCTCATTTTCACAAGCGTGTTTAGAGAGCGGCTTGCCAAGGAGACAGCTAATAAACATTTACAAACTGCTCTGCTCTGCCGGGCTGGGTCATCTCCCACGGGTTCATCTGGACCAGAGAGCACCATGAACAGGGAGTCCCGGACACCCGGGGCCTCTGCAGAGCCCTCCCCATCCTGCTGGGGGCCATCACTCTGGAGCCAGTGGTGAGTGGGGGGATAGGGGGGCCTTCCCCATCCTGTGCGGGGAACCTCCTACTCCAAACATCAAGGCCAGATTTCCTTTAAGAAAAATACACCAGGTTGCTCTAGCCAGTCCGGAGAAGAACTAACCCACCGAGTGGTGTTACTTTCTTGGCTTTACTTCTTGTCTAGGCCCCTAAAGGTGAGGCCCCTGTCTCTGGGGTGCCCCGCAGAGAGCGGCCCAGGCACAGGATGTGGGGGAGAAGGCGACCAGCTACGGAGGGTTCCCAGGGAGCAACTCGTTTCTCTTTGGGTTTTGGGAGGCCTTGGCAAAGCTCCAGGCGCTTAAAAGAGCTCTAATAAAGCTTTGGAAGGAAGGTTTCAGGAGCGTGAGAAAGAGGAAACGCCCTGTGTACGGGTGGTGTCGTGTCACCAGAGACCCACTGGGGGGCAGCAGAGAGCAGCGCCGCGTGGCGGTTCACAGAATCCCGCTGGTGCCAGAGGTAGGCGTTCCCTGGCCTGGCAGGCGCGGAGCGCGACTCGAGCCGCGGATGTGCCTGGTGGTGCTGGGTCTGATGTGCACGTCGGGGCCCAGAGCCACCTGTGTTGGTGTTCAGTTTGTTCAACTTGAGGGAGCCCTGACCGATGGGGCTCAGTGGGTGGAGTGTATCCTGAGAAGCAAAAGGTCTCTGGTTTGATTCCTGGTCAGGGCAACATGCCTGGGTTGTGGGTTCGGTTCCTGGTCGGGGTGCGTATGAGAGGAAACCGATTGGTGATTCTCTCCCTCTCTTGCTCCCTCCCTTCCCCTCTCTCTAAAAAAAATAAAATAATAGTAAAATCAAAAGATAGCTTAAAGAATTAAACCTAAGGGAGCCCAGGACAAACAAGGAATGATTCTAGGCCCCAGAAGTCGGAGACAGGTTCAGATTTTGTGGGGACGACATTTTGAGGCCCTGTGTAAGAAAACTAATATAAAATTATGGACATGGACTTAGTGTGAAGGTGAATACTTATTCAGAACAGAATGTTAGTCTCATCACACCAGGGGTGTCTGCAGACTGGCGTGCCACCCTTCTGGTTTCTCTTTAAGTGGTTTACCAGACCCACGTAGGCAGAAATGCCTCCTGGTGACAGCCCGGCGCCCCTTTGCCCCCGGACGCTCTGCCGCCCTCTGTTCTCGCTCTGAAAGCAGCCTCAAGCTGAAGCCTTATCAACCTCTTGGCGAGTCCACCCGCCCCTGGGGGACTCTGAACTGATGGATGTTAATTCTCCCTCTCTTTCCCCCCCTTCCCATAAAAATAAATAAAATCTAAAACTAAGAATTGTGACTCAGCTGGTTGGAGTGTCATCCTACACACCCCAAAGTCCTGGGTTCGGTTCCTGGTCAGAGCACACACCCAGGTTGCAGGTTTGATCTCCAGTCTGGGTGGGTGTGGGAGACGACCAATTGATGTTTATCTCTCACATCAATCTCTCTCTCTCTCTCTCTTTAAAATGAACTAAAAAAAAGTCTCCTTGGGTGAGGAGCATCTTCCTGGGGCTCACTGTAAGCATCTTTAGCAAACGAGGGCCCTTGGGCTCTTCACATGGCAATTACTTGGTGCATGAAACCAACATCATTTTTGTCCAGGGCCCTTGAGAAACAGAACTATACCCCAGGTTTTTATTATCATATGTGAGAAAAGTAGAATAATCTGACTCTGCATGGCTTTTGTTGTCATCACGGGGTTCCCAGTATAAATCTGAGCAAGGGGAAGTTCATTCTGATTTTTAGACACGGGGGGCGGGGGTGAGGTGGGACAGGTGGAAACCAGAGGGGGTGGGGGCCTGGCGAAGTGGAAAGCATCTGCAGGAAGTCATTCAGCCACTAGGTGGAGCCACACAGCGTGAGACTCTGAGCCAGGTGTCACACTAACCCTTACTCATCTGTGCCTTGGAAGGGGAGTGCAAACCCCCCAGGCCAGGCCGTCCTGAAGATTTGACTAACCCGTCAATGCCCAGGCACCTGGGCATGGCTGTAATCCAGACGCAGTAGCTTGACCTGCTGAAAGTCAAAGAGATGACTTCTAAGTGCTTACTTGGGGAAAAGAATCTAAGTCTGTCCTAAACCCAAGTGTGTTTTTCTTCTCCATACGATGCCCCCTTTGTTCTTGGCTTGCCCTCTTGGATTGTGGGTCCTGTCTTCAAATGGGCTTTTGGTTAGTTTTGGGTTTCCTTGGAGTGGTTTATTCTGGGATCAGAGCCCCAGGCTCGACTTTAAAGGTGCTTGGAGCAGGGTACAAATGAGGTCACAGGGTCTGTCTGCGAAGCGGCCTCCTTGAGATGTTAATGATCCCTTTGGCTACACTTCTGACTTGCCCTGAGTTCCTGCTGGCAAGGTACTGGGTCTTGTCCCCTCAATTCAGGTAGTGTCCAGCACCTCTGATGAGGAAGACACAAATCTTGAGTGAAACAGCTAAATCTTATTAACATGAAGAGAAAGAAGCTGTGTGAGCAGAGGGGCCAGGTCCCTCCCCTGGCTGCATCGTCGCCCTCCCCCACCTCCCATGCCCAGGGGCAGGGCAAGCCGGTCCTGGCTGTGTCTGTCCTGTCGTTCCAATCCCAGCTCCAACTACTTGGGGCATTCTTCCTGGGCCCGGGCCCAAGGCAACCTGAATGTTCCCAGTCAACCATTCCTGCAGCCCCCTGCCCCGGGCAGCTTGGCTTCCCCCAGAGCTAGTTCCCAAAGCCTTGCTTCATGTTGCCCCCTCTCTGAGCCAGGATCTGGTCTGGGTGCTTGAAGACATCCACTTGCTTACCGTCTCCAAAACCCAACGGGGCGAATCCTGTCATCTGCCCATCGTCGCTGGTGGCAGAACCAGAGCACAGGTGAATAAGGGTTAGTGCGGCACTCAGCCTCCGAAGGGCAGGCGCCCTCGGAGTAGATATCAGATCTCCTGACTCTGGCTGCCTGAGGACTCACCCCGAGGGGTGACTTCAGTGTGACTTCTTGGCACAGCCTTACTGGCAGATTCCTCCTGCGTTTGCTCAGAGGCCCTGCACCTGAAGGAAGCAATCAGCGGAGACACCTGGTGCCCTGAACATCCTTCCTGGGAGCCCTTCTCTGGGGTCAAGCGGCAGCTACTTGCCTCTGCCCCACCCCGGCCCTGGTGCAGGTCAGGGCGGGGCTCCGGTGAGTGCTGGGGGGTTGGAGGGGGGTCATGCCCTGTGCTCGTTAGGCCTCTTCTTTCATAGCTCTGAGTTTTCTATGCAAACTTACTCAAGAACCAAACCTCCTGTTTAAAAAATGATACTTATGATGTCTAATGGCGTTTAGTATCGGATCATTTTAGAACACTAGCTGTTTCTCCTCCCTCCCTACCCTGTCTCACCACCCTGTGATGACATCACTGATAAAGCAACTGGGGCCCTGGGTGGCTCTGGACCTTCCCGAGACGGTGAAACTGGTAGAACAGACAATAAAATAGGAGCACAGGAATTTAACCACATCGTCTGTGCCCAGGACCACGAGGCTCACACTTCCTCAAAAATATAAAGGAAGATCCTTACTCCTACTTTTCAAGTCGTGACTTTTAACAAATATGAAATGCTCGGTACGCAGATCTGCAGCCTGAAAAACCATTATCGACTCATGCAGCACTGCCCGGGCCAGGGAGGAAGCCACCCTCCCTCCTGCTCCCCGGCCCGCTGGCTCGCTCTGAGTCCAGGCCTCTCCCTTCTTTGAGAGAGACCCGCTGCTTTTTGTTACAATCATTTCCTTGTTTCTCTCTACAGCTTTACCACCTACTTATGTTTTCCTAACAAATAGAATTAGTCATTCTTAGCAAATTTCTTTTTTTGTTTCTCAGATTATGAGAGAAAGGCTTTTCAGAAAGTTACAGAGGTGGTAGAAGTGAGGCCACTGGGCTGCGTGAGCTCAGGAGACAAGGTGGGGGGAGGGCCCTGGGCGCTTAGGAGAGAGAAGGGCAGCGGTTAGGCGCCTGGGGCAGGGTGAGGGGCTGGGGGGAGGCCAGAGCGCTGTCCTTGGCATTTGGCTTATACCCTGGAGTGCCATCAGCCGTGGTTTTGATGTTCTACGTTAGGTCCTCAGACCTCATCTTGGAGAGGAAGGTCTGTACCTTTTAGCAACCTGCCCCTGTTGTTCCCACCCCCTAGTCCCAGCGACACAAACCCAAAGGGGCAGATGCTATTGTCTCCCCCCACCCCCCTGCCCCCTGAGGGTGCAGAGGGCTGTTGGGCTGAGGCCACGCAAGCCTGCGTCCGTCTTTGTCTGGCTTATTTCACTCAGCATGGCTCCCCCCCGGGGTTCACCCACGGCGTCACAAACGACAGGACTGTCTTCCTTTTTAAAGCTGAGCCGCATTCCATTATGTGAATGGATACATACAGTCGTCCCTCTGTATCCACACGACTGCTGTCAGGAGCTCCTTGTGGAAACCTGAACCCGTGGACGCTCAGGTGCCTCGGTCAGCCTTCCACAGCCACAAACGTTGGACCCATGGAGACAGAGGGCTGAGTGCATGCCTCACATCTTCCTCATCCTTTATCTGCTGACAGACATGTGGGTTGTTTACACACCTTTGCTATTTAAAAAAATTTCTTTATTTATTTTTGAGACAGCGAGAAAGGGAAACCTGGATGTGTTGTTTCACTTATTCTTGCATCCGTTGGTTGATTCTCATATGTGCCGTGACCAGGGATTGAGCCTGCAATTTTGTTGTATCGGAAAAACGGCCGCATCTTGACCATTGTGGACCATGCTGCAATGAGCGTGAGAGTGCAGATACCTCTTTGAGATAATGGTTTTGTTTCCTTCAGAAGCGGGACTGATGAGTCACACAGAGGTTCTACTGGTAAATTTTCTGAGGAACCTCCATACCGTTTCCTGTGGTCGCTGCATGCATTTACATCCTACGGAAGCATGCAAGGCTTTCTCCCACATCCTTAGCAGCTTTCCCCTCTCTCATCTTTCTGACGACGGCACGGACGGAGTACTGGATCTTTTGGTGCGTGGCTCTGCACCTTGTCTCCTGGTCTCCTTTCCCTTAACATCGAGATTCTTCCTTGTTGTAACTGGACTCACGTTACCTGGCATTTTGGCCCTCCACTGATGAATGAGTCCGCTACAGAGGACTGCCCCAGGCGACTGTTGATGGCATCTGAGTTATCATCACGGTGTTGCTACGAACCCCTCTGACTCCTATCATGCTCAGTATATATATATGGGCCGTAAACCTAGAAGTGGAACGGCTGGGCAAAGGGTATGGCTGTTTTCAAGTTCACTAACTATTTTTAGCAATGTCCCAAAGAGGTGGTAACGATGTACGGAGCCGCGATTGCTTCATATTTGATGCTCTGTAGCGACCTGAAGGGACACGGGGCGGTGGTCAGAGGAAACACACAAAAACAAGCGAATGCAGAGCAGATGCCTCTGCTCCCAGTCCTTCCCCCCAAAGGTAACCTGTGTCAATGGTTTCTTCAGTACCTTCCCATAAATATTGGAACTTATTTAAACGATATATTTAAGTTTTTAAAGCGACAGTTTCTGGGGAATATCTCTAAGTCTAAAGACAGTGTGCAAATTAAGTATCTGTTGTTAAATTCATTGCTGTTGGTAAACCTTACCTATTCAATCATTTGTAAAACAGTTACTGAGCACCAGTTATGTGCTAAGCACTCTTCTAGGACCTTGGGAAATGGCAGTGAACAAAAAGGTAAGAAAATCATGCCCACATGGAATACACGTTCCAGTTGGGGGGATACAGTAAATAGAGGAGGAAACTGTATGTTAAATGGTGTTAAGTGCTAAGGAGAAAAATGCACCACCGAGTTTTGGGGAGTGTTGGGGAACTGTTAATCTTAAAGAACTGAGTGGGGAGACCCGTGGGTCCCTGGGGAAGAGCGGTCACATATATTTAAGGACTATCAGGGAGGTCAGAGGGGCTGGAGCTCAGGGACCAAGGGGGACATGGGCCGATTCCTGATCCCACAGGGAGAAGCGGCCCCATCCTGGGTTATGTTGCGAGCTGCTGACGGGATGGATGAGGGTGTGAGAGGAAGAGAGACATCAAGGATGACCACCAGGCCAGCCAGGGCTGCCTGGTGGTCAGTGGCCCCTAAGGAAGGGAGCGTGACTTACTGAGCAGGGAGGGAAGACTGCGAGAGGAACAAGTTCTGGGGAGTAGGAGGACCTGGTGAGCGGGCAATGCCTACACACAGCCGAGTGAGCTGTGGCCCAGGCAGTGCAGAGTTTAGGGGAGAGGTTACTGCACAGATATGGGGCAGTTACTGAATGGATGGGAGTAAAAGGCATGGATGGGGCAGGGTGAGACCCCGAGCCCAAGCACTGCTGCTTCTCTCAAGTCCCCAGAGGCACCCCAGGGGAGGGTGGGCAGAGTGGCCAGAAAAGAAGTGTGTGGTAGCTCGGAAGGCCAAGGACAGACATTCCAAATAGAGAGGGATGATGGTGAGAGGTCAGGAAAGGTGGCTTCTGACGTGCGCTGCGGGATTTAGCAACTTGGAAGGAGTCAGTGCCCTTGACCATTGAACAGCAAGGACAGAACCCAGAAGGGAATGGGTTCCCCAGGGAATGGGAGGGGGGAAGAGGAGAGTGGGTGAGAAGTTTTGCTGAAAGAGAGGGTAGAGAAAGCCCAGTAGTTTGAGAAAGTAGAAAAAGCTGAAATGGGAAGGTGACAGACAGTAAGGACACAGGTCATGGAAATCCATTAGCACTTCAGTAAAAATAACTCATGATGGTTTTGCTAAAGGATTGGGCCCCCCCACTTCAGTCCTCCTTGAATCGAGGGTAACCTCATAAACAACTGACAGTCATATACAGTGATTAATTCTGCAGCACCATTTTCTCATTACAGAATCCAGGATGCAATAATATCCAGGCCGAGCTGCTACGGTCTCTGGCTCCCTCTGCCGTGTTGGCAGCGGGCCGCGTGGCCTGACCCCCATCCTTGCCTCTCCCCAGCCCAACTCCGCAGCTCTGCGCCACGGCTGCTGCCGAGGCACTGGTGGGGCCTGAGAGATCCTGGCTTTTCCTTTTGTGCAACCACGTGCCTCCCTGCAGAACCCACACAGAGGCTCGGCCTTGCAAGCTCGTTTACAGGAAACCGCCTGCAACTTCCTCCCAGGGTGGGTTTTAGACAGCGAGACCGCGACACGCATTCCCGCAAGCCTTTCTGCCCCACAACGGCCATAGGGCCTCGGCGTCCAGACTCGCGCGCCCGATTGGCGCTCCGTGAGACTGTGCCGCGTGGTGCCCTGGCTGACCCACGGTACCCCACCCCGCCGGCGCCGCCCAACAGTCGCCGAACCTTCTGGAAACGACGCCGGGCAGCCAGAGCCGGTCGCCCGAGAGGCCTCGGGGGGCGGGGCGCGCAGGGCGGGATTTGCGCAAGAAAACGCGTCCGATTCGCCGTCTGTGCGTAAGCTCCGCCTCACAGACGCCATGGCCCCGCCTTCTCCCTCCCCCTCCATGGAGCCGCTCGGACTCATTCATTCCGCGCCGGGCCTGCCAGACACCTGCCCTCTCCCTCAGCCGCCCGTCGCCAACGCCGCCGCCGCCGCTAGCATGTCGGACCCTGCTGCGGATACCCCTTCCGCCATCCAGATCTGCCGGTAAGAGGGGCGCACGGCGCGGCGAGCAGTCGAGATTCTGAGGCACCGCCCGGGCCTGTCCGGAGCAACCTCCGCGCTTTTCCCGCTCCGGTCCAGGTTCCCTCACCTCCGGTCCGCCGCTGGTCGCCGGACCCCGCCCACCCCTCCCCGACCCCCCACTGTCGGGTGCGACTCCGGTGCCGCAGAGCCGGCGGCCTCCCCGCGGGCCTCTGGCGCATCCCGGGGGCGGTGCCGCGGTCACGCAGGCCCCTTGCGCTATTATCGGAGCGACGCCTTTGCCGGGCGGGGGTCGGAGTGAAGCCCCCGCGCCCCGCCCAGCCCCACCCGGCCCGTGCCGGAGCGTGCTGGAGCCCCAGCTCAAGTCCCACTGAACCCCCTAGTGCAGGCTTGTTCTCTGGGCGGTGGTGCAAAGCCAACCGGATCTCCCGAGAAGTGGGGCGCGAGTAACCAGCCTGCTGGTCCGCGCCTGGAGCTCCGCGAGCCCTTCGATGGGTGCCCCAGTGGGCGGGGGCTGCAGCTGTCCAGTCCCACTTAGGGCACTGGCTCTGGTTTTGAGGGGAGCCAGAACTAACAGGAAAAACAGGAAATGCCCCTCCCGGCTAACAGTTCACTGCTAAGAAGAGGGAATGGTCCACTGAGCCTGGAAGCATCTTACACAGTGGGGACAAACGGTTGTTCTCAGCGTACCACCCCTGCCTTCTTCCAGGGGAACCGGGTAGAGGGAGGCCCCCAGAGGAAGTGCGAGATAGGGAGCTGTCTTTTTGCCCGCAGGAGGATGGAGGGCAGCCTCAAGGTTACTTACTCTCCATTTTCTTGGGCAGAATCGGAAGCGGGCACGCTGGAATTTGATAGTGGGCTGAATAAGGGCACGAGTCTGGGGCGGCACCGCGTAGGCAGTGGGGCTTGGAGCAGGGCCTGTCCTGCTTCAGGTACCTCCTAGAGTGAGAGCGGCTTCGGGTTGCTGTTTTGCAATGGGTTCTGCAGGTTTGGGCCATTACCCTGGCCTAGGGCCCAAGCCAAATTAGTTTCTCGTGTATGTTGACAGCACCCTGGAAGAGTAAGTGCTGGATCAGTGGGGCGACCTGACCGCACCCCCTTTTCTGGCCTAGTCCAGGGTCTTTGCTGACCTCAAGGTCAGTTTTAGCTTTTCTAGGGAGAAGAAATCTTTGCGGGAGCCTTGCTCTGTTTGCCTCGTTATGGTCTGTGTGGCTGTCTTGACCCCATCCACTCCAAGTTCCCGGGGCAAAAGGAACAGGAGTAAATGATATTTGGAGAGAGACAGGCCTGGAGTCAGGTTCTGCCTGGTATTGGCTGGGTGACCTTGAGGTTCATCCTTTGTGAAGGGCTACTCCTGTCTCTCTCACCTCACCGGCTTTGTCCACTTTCCCCGGGGAAGGAGGCAGGGATGCCGCCCCTCTGCTGTGCGGAGGAGGAAACCCAGGGCCTCTGTAGGTCATCTGGCCCCAGGCGGCAGGGCAGCTTCTCTGGGGGCTTGTCTCCAGCCCCACTGTGCTATTTCCACTGCACTCCACCACAAAAGAGGGTACTGACTTCAGTCTGCTCTTGGAAGGCTGGGCTTTTATTTACCTCATCAGCATAATAAACAGCAGGTCTATATGTACCGTCTTTTTTAAAACCAGCTTTTCACCTGTCACTTACATAGTGTTATTAACCAGTGTTACCCCAATACATTTACTTTAAACAATAATAAATATCAAGCAAAAAGAAAAAAAAACACTTGAAATTTACATAATGTTATTAACTGATGTTACTTCAGTAAGTTTAATTTAAACGATAATTATAAGATCCTCTCCAGCTTCTAACAGGTGATAGATTTGGGGGTAGCTTTACACACGGAGACTTCTGTGTGTGCACACACCTGCACACTCACCATGCTTTCCAGCTGCTTCTTGCGTATTCATAATTGCATGTTGTCGCTCTGGCTGCCAGGCTGTGGGTGCTGGGCAGCATACCTGGGAAGTGAGCCTAGGGGTCCAGCACGACTGCCAGATATGGGGAGAGTGGACACATCAGGGTGGGGAGCCCTTTAAGGACACCTGAGCCGACACCCTGTGTTGAAAGAGGAGCCTCTTGGCCCAGGACGGCCAAGCCCATGAATTTAACAAGTTTCACTGGACACCTCCAAGAAGCAAAGTCCCTTGAGAAAGGGACAGGGACCTAGAACGTTTGGTGCTTGCCTTACGAGGTTTCACAGGTCAGCAGGGGGAGGATGCCCAAACCCCGCCATCCTGGACAATTAGGAGTGGTCGCGTGCTTTGTGGGTGGAAGGAGGTACTGCGGGGATAGGGCCCGGCCAGGCGGAGTCGGGGCCGGCCTCACAGTCCCTGGCCCGTGTGTGCATTCTCCCTCTGCCCCTTGCCTGTCAGACCCTCCTGTGCCCCCATTTTCCTGTGGGTTGTTCTAAGTGTTAAAGAAAAGAAAGTACATCCGTGCCTGGCGCACTGTAAATAAACGGAAGCTCTTTTTGTCTCAGAAGTGGGACACGGGCCCAGGAGGCCAGTAGCCTGGGTTCGAACCCCAGCCCTGCCTCTTGTAGCTGTGTAGCTTTAGGCCTGTTCCTTAACCCTGCTGGGCCTCCAGTTTCTCTTCTGTGAATTGGAGATAATCATAGTGCCCTGCTCAGTGTCGCTGTGAGGGTACAGCCTGTGGCAGAGACCCCGGCATTTGTAAACACACACTCCCAGAGGGAGCCCTTTGTCTCCGAGAACCGGACTTGAGCCAGCCAGGCCGCTGTGTGGCACTGTTCCCTCCCCTGGGTCCAGCCCTGCAGGTGCAGGTTTGGGGACTGCATTTGAAGTCTCAGAAGAGCATTTGTCCTTTGGTTTATTTGGAGTAATATGAATGAACATCTAGTTAGCGGATTACACGTATCCTGTGGAGTTCAGAACATCAGGCCCGGGAGGACCCACAGAGGCCTCTGTCCCTACTCTGTCCCTTTATGGCAGGGGAGGGCGGGACATGGGGCTCCCAGAGGGTGAAGGCTTGGCTGAGGAGAGCAGTGACCGAAGGCAGCTGGGGGGGCTGTTCCCACCTGGTGCCCCGGTGCCCGGGCCTCCTGCTCTCACCCATGCGTCCATGCACACTCTGTTGTGCAGCTCAGTCACGGCGTGAGTGTGGACCCTACTCAGAGCCCCTGAGTGTGAGTCCGGACGAGGCTGAGGGTGTGTCCAGTCGCAGGTGGTGGGAGGGTGTGAGCGGGGCAGCGGCTGCTCTGGAACTTTGCACAGTGAGCTCCTTGTCTTTGCTGCCCAGTAGGGCAGCCATTGGCTGCACGGAGCCAGCGAGAGCTTGAGATGTGACCAGACACGGAGAAACTGAATTCTTAACTGCATTCATTTAAATTTATCTGAATGTCAATGTGGCTAGCCTCCTGTGTCCGGCCCCTCCCTAATGGGACAGTGCAGTATGTAGAAGAATTTAAAAACTGGAATTCCTGGTAGGTTTCCTAAGAGTCCGGAGCTGCCCGGGGACCGTGGTCAGCTCTCAGACACCCGAGCTGACGGAGGCAGGCCTGGGCCTGAACACAGCCCGGCCCAGGGCAGGCAACACCGAACCCTTGGTTCGCAGGTAGACATGCGTGGTCTGCAGGTTATCTTTCACTTACTTGCCAGTGCTTTTTTAAAAGAAAATTTCTGTAATGAATGGTATGCTCAATTTTCTTTTTTTAAATTTAATTTATGTATTTTTAGCGAGAGGGGAAAGGAAGGAGAAAGAGAGAAACATCAATGTGTGGCTGCCTCTTGTGCGCCCCCAACTGGGGACCTGGCCTACCACCCAGGCATGTGCCCTGACTGGGAATTGAACCTGCGACTCCCTGGTTCACAGGCTGGCGCTCAATCCACTGAGCCACACCAGTCAGGGACACTTGCCCGTGCTTTTAGAGGCAGACCTAGGACACGTCTCAAGGTGAGGGCCGCAGTCCCGTGAGTGCCTAGAAAAGCGCGTGGCATCTAGCGGATGGGCCAGTGAATGTTAGTGCCATGGACCTAATTTCAGTGCTTAACAGTTAAGTGAGAGCTTGGCTCTGCCACTGCTGCTGGGTAGAAACGAGGTCCAGGCCGGACTCGACCCTCGGGCCTTGTGTTTGCCACCTGTGTTTTATAGGGAAGTCTGAGATATTGGTGGATGCCAAGCTGTGATGTCTGATGTTTCCTTCAAACTCGTGTAGCGTGTGGGGGGGGGCAGGTGGGGGCAGAGAGGAACCAGAGTTGATGGTTTGGAGCTCTTTGGTGGGGCTTGGGGAGTCATTTCCTTTTTCTTCTACCCTTGTAAACTTTCAGTGTTTTCCACAATTAAAGAATAAAAGGAAAATCAGCTCCAGGACCCCCACCCGGCGGCTGGCCCAGCTCCTGCAGGAGCGTGAGAGCCACTGTCTGAAGTAGGGGCTGTGGGTGGTCCCCTCTCCTGGAGCCCCTGCTGTCCGGAAGCCTGGAGCTCCAGGCTGCCTCCCTCCCAGCCCTCCTGACACCTGCTGCAGGACGCTCTTCCAGCCCAGGTGCCTTCTGCCCAACGCCAGAGGCCTGCTGCTTCCTGTGGCTCCTCCTGTCAAACACCAGGGCCGTGGCTGGGTCCACCCTTGTGCTTCTTGCGATGGCCGAGGTGCCCCTCAGCAGTCAGCATCGGGAAGCTTGGAGGCTTATCTGGATCTGGAAATTACACAGCTCACCTGGGGCTACTCGGTGGGGTTCTGGGGGCGGGAGGGGGAGCTGAGGGTGGGAGCCTGTCCTGAGCCTGTCCTGAGCCCTGGATTCTGCTTCGAACATAAGAGTGGGGACGTAAAGCGTGGGAAGAGAAGAAACAAGTACCTCAAAGGTTCAGTGTTTGAGATCAACCAAGATGTCCAAACAAAGGAGCCTGCATGGAGGAGGCAGCCTGGCCCTGCATCTGGGCCTGTGGCTGGCCTTGTGTTTATGAGACCTCCATGGGTGGATGGCAGGTAAAGCCACAGGTGTGTGCTTGCGTAACACAGAAGGCCTGAT